GAGTGCCACGTCCTTGGTGACCCTGTGTGGTCCCCAGCTGCCCTGACCCCTGTTCCTGGCGCCCATGAGCCAAGCAGTTCTCTCCGCCAGGCCTTTGCACCATGTGTTTCGCATTCGCAGTGAGCCATGGGCTGAACCCTCAGAACCGTGAGCCACGGCCCCGAAATCTCTCCTCCTCCTCCTCCTCCTCCATCTCCTCCTCCTCCATCTCCTCCATCTCCTCCTCCTCCATCTCCTCCTCCTCCTCCATCTCCTCCTCCATCTCCTCCTCCTCCTCTATCTCCTCCTCCTCCTCCATCTCCTCCTCCATCTCCTCCTCCTCCTCCTCCTCCATCTCCTCCATCTCGTCCTCCTCCATCTCCTCCATCTCGTCCTCCTCCATCTCCTCCATCTCCTCCTCCTCCTCCTCTATCTCCTCCTCCTCCTCCATCTCCTCCTCCATCTCCTCCTCCTCCTCTATCTCCTCCTCCTCCTCCATCTCCTCCTCCTCCTCCTCCTCCATCTCCTCCATCTCGTCCTCCTCCATCTCCTCCTCCTCCATCTCCTCCATCTCCTCCTCCTCCATCTCCTCCTCCTCCTCCATCTCCTCCTCCATCTCCTCCTCCTCCTCTATCTCCTCCTCCTCCTCCATCTCCTCCTCCATCTCCTCCTCCTCCTCCATCTCCTCCTCCTCCTCCTCCTCCATCTCCTCCATCTCGTCCTCCTCCATCTCCTCCTCCTCCTCCATCTCCTCCTCCATCTCTTCCTCCTCCTCCTTCTCCTCCTCTTTGCCTTCTCCTCGTCCTTCTTCTAGACACAGAGCCCTGCTGTGTATCAGCCATGAATGGATTTTGCCCATTGACTGCTTCTCTCCCTGCGGCTGTGGCACCCACCAACCCAATTTCCATCCTCAGTCCTTTCTTGCTTAAAAACGGAAGCAATAGCCAAGCCTTAGGCCCACCCATATCTGTCATTATGGTACTGTGGGAGGCTGAGGCAGGAGGATTCCAAGTTTGAGCTTTGCGTGAATGACTTAGTGATGTAAAGAGATGTAAAATTAAAAAATAATAAAGGGAAAAGGGATGAGGATTTGCAAAGGGCCTGGGGTCAATCCTCAGGACCAGAAAATAATCACCTAAGCAGTAGGCTGCAAGAGGCGCCCTCGCCCTGTGGGGAAGGTAGCTGGGGTCTGCACAGGCAAAGCCCTGGAACTGCAGGACTGTCATGGCGAAGGCCAGGGGCCAGCTCAGGGCCCTCCAGGCAGCTGCAGCACTGTGAGGGTCTGTGTTGGTCCTACCTGGGGCCAGCGATAAGCAGACGCCCCACAGTGTGGGAAGGGTCACTGAGAAGCAGGTGAGGGACACGGGCACTGGGGGCCCGGGAGAGGCCTCTCCAGGGTCAGCACGGCTGGACAGCGAGGGGGCAGCTGTGTTTGCAGAGGGAGGAAGAAGTCTGGGGCCCAGGGGGAGCTCTGCAGCAGGGCTGGCTCTTCAGGCCACGGGCTGGCGGGGGCTTCCTGGCCCGGGGCAGTGGGCGCCAAGGTCAGCTTCCGCCACAGCCCGGGAGCTAGGGAGGGAGCTGCCTCATCTCTGTCCCTGACCGGAGCCGCGGGAGACAGGAGACCAAACTCGAGCAGGATCAGCTCTCAAACTTTATTACGTACAGCGAACCGGACCTAACAAGGTCCGCCACCCTCAACGTTGGTTCCTCTTCCGCCGTTGGGGGCAGGAACAACCTCTTATAAGGGGAAGCAGTATCCAATCACAGAGAAGCGCGCCTAACAAGCTGATAGGCTAGCGTCACGGGTAACTGGGCAGATATGACAATTTGGCGGGCTTGTTCAGGCCGGGAAGAACCCGGAAGCAGGAAATGGGCGCCATCTCAGGCGGCTTCCCACATCTCCCCCTTTTTTATTTATTAAAATAGGATGGTCTGTGGGTCCCTCCAAGGTGTCTATGACCTTGTTGCTGTTAGACACCTAGGAGTGGGCCTACCTTGTAGGCCGAGGCATGAGAGAATGTAGAGGTCTATACCCTGCTGTGCATCACCCTGTTTTGTGCATATCCTTGCGCCAGGACCATGCTCAAGGTGAGTGGTTCATTTTTTCGCAGGGCCAGGCTTTTGTGAACCGAACCTGGATGCATATAGACATTCATTCCTGCCTTCCCCCCAACCTTTGGGGCGGATGGCACTGCAGTACCCTTGGTCTCGCATCTCAATGCCAATAATTTGACTCCGGGAGGGACCCCTGGCCTTATAGGCCATGTATATCTGAGTGGAGCCTGTCTTAGGTTGACCGGGAGGGCTTTTCCCGTCTTACCCGTCATTGGCTTGCCCACTCAGCTCTTATAGCTGATGTTCTGCAATGTGAAGGAGATATGCGGCGGCCTGCTGGCCTGATGGGCCACCTGCTGCCATTTGCATGGCTGCCATAGCTGTGATCTTAACCTGCTGCTGAGTTTGTATGAGGCGATCTAACAAGCATTTAATAACCACAAGCCCTACTAGGATAGCCATGGCAATTAGCATAATCAAGGACTGTTTGATTGATGGTGTAAACCCTGGGTGAGGTGGGCGAGGCCGCCGAAAAAGGTGCCAATGTGGGCGGGTGGTGCCAAGGACCCCAAAGATATTGTGGTGGTTCTGTGGAATCTGAGCATATCACAGGGGTGATTAATAGGAACCCACAGAATAGAAAAAGCTCCAAACCAGACATTTTAGTTTGTAGATGGTCTCGGGCGCTGAGCGTCGGTCCCAGAAGGGTCGAGTTGACTTGTGTCCGCGGGCTTATCCTCCTGTGCTTTATCAGGAACTGGTGGGGAGTTTACTGCTCGCGTCAATCTTTCCGGGACCCACAGCGGTTCGCAGCCTGGTTCCTGTGGGAAGACACAAACCGCACCTCGGGTCCAACTAACCACTGGATCCGGGCCCATCCATTGTCCTGTAAGGACATCTTTCCATCTCACCAGCCCTTTGTCGGCCGGGGACGGGTTATTGTGCTCCATGGCAGGGGAATGATTATTGTGATTAAGGTTTAAAAAATTTATGGTAAAGAGTGCCAATGATATTCTTCCTTTGGGCGTTAGGCCGTGGCCACCCAATTCACGGCACAGGCGTGTCCACTCTTCTAAGGACCTATTTTTGTTAGTTCTTAGGACATCACGGCACTCCTTAGTGCACTGTTCAAAAATCAATTGTTTTATGAGAGGGTGAGCCGCCTCAGCATCTGGAAAAATCCTGTTAGCGGCCTCAAGCATGCGGGCCACAAAGTCTGAAAATGGCTCTCCCTGCCCTTGTATAATTTTTGTAAGGTGACCCGTATGTTCTCCCTTTCCAGCCAGCCGTCTCCAGGCCTGGAGGCCACAGCGGCTAATTTGTTCATAAACCTGGCGAGGGTATTGAGTTTGATCTTCCTCAAAGGCTCCTCGCCCTAATAGCATATCCCTGTTCCATTTTTTCTGGTTATTTTCCCTGTTGGCTGCCGCCTGCTCTACACAGAATCCGGGGGAGAGGCAGGCGCGTGCCAGTTGGGTCCAATCTCCAGGAGTTAAAAGCAGACCTGCCAATGCCTCTAAAAGCGCCATGGTAAATGGCGCATTGGGCCCATTGCAGCTGCAGCAGCTGAAACTGCGTCCTTGATAGCTTTAAGTTGTTTAATTTCTAAGGGCTCATAATATCCTCCTCCTCCCCTGCCTCCTACTTGTACCGGGAATGCATGGAGACCGGGACACTCAAAGGGAAGCCGCGACCATACCCTCTGGTGGAAGGAACGTCCTCCTCCCTCCCCAGATTGGGGGCGCAGAAGGCAACCCAGGAAGTAGCTCTCCCTCTAACCAGGGCGGTGCCATAGGTTGTGGTGGCAGCCCAGGGAGCAACTCCTCTTCCGGCCACGGCGGTGCAGTGGGGCCTGGCGCCCTGAAAGGGGCGATCGTGGGTCGCGAACTTGCCAAAGGGCGGAAGGGCTTAAGCTCCTCCCGTAAGGCGGAGTAGCTCGGGCAGGGTGGTGTTTGGTTCCCCTTTTTATCTTCCCGAGCCCTAAGTTCCTCTTTTAACGGTGTAGGAGGGTCATGCTTAGCAAAGACGACCTCCTCTTCTGAGCCTTCCAAATCCGAATCAGAATTAGAGCCCTGAGGGTCCTCCGGAGACCCACAATCGGCAGTGGCTCCGGGCTCCTCTGAGCATTCCGATCGAGCTCAAAAGCCTGTCGGGCTGTATTAGCGAAGCGAAAGCAAAACAGATGCAAAGGGAAAAGAAAAGAAAAAAAAACCCAGCGTCCACTCGTGTGGCGCTCAAAATCTGTTAGGTGCGTCCACCCAACCCAGGTGACCCAGTACTCACCTGTCCCGGGAACCGCTGTATCTCACGTAGCTGATCAGGGTGAAGAGAAGAGGCGCTCGCGGCCTTCCGTTGTTATTGGGCCAGGTCCTCCGTCGTACCGCAGGCGACAGCAATCGCACCTCCCGGCCGAAGAGGCACGTCGCTGAGTCTTTTACCTTTTTCCCCGTACGGGCCCCCAGATGACCGGAGCCGCGGGAGACAGGAGACCAAACTCGAGCAGGATCAGCTCTCAAACTTTATTATGTACAGCGAACCGGACCTAACAAGGTCCGCCACCCTCAACGTTGGTTCCTCTTCCGCCGTTGGGGGCAGGAACAACCTCTTATAAGGGGAAGCAGTATCCAATCACAGAGAAGCGCGCCTAACAAGCTGATAGGCTAGCGTCACGGGTAACTGGGCAGATATGACAATTTGGCGGGCTTGTTCAGGCCGGGAAGAACCCGGAAGCAGGAAATGGGCGCCATCTCAGGCGGCTTCCCACATGTCCCGACACTCGGGAGGCTGAGGCAGGAGGGTTCTCCTGAGTTCACAGCCAGTTTGCACCACGTAGTGAGACCCTGCCTTAACATATATAGATAAGGAAAGAGAGCTGCAGTCTCCTCCCCAGAAGAAGTTTTGTGCAGGGGTGAGGCAGGCTGGGAAAGATGGCTGGTGATGTCACAAGGGTGGTGGGAATAGAAGGTTCCAGAAGGCTGCCTGGGCATAAGATCTACTGAGAAGGGAAACCACCGCCTTCCGCCTCCCGCCACCACCTTCATCGGGGGCCAGCCCAGAGGGTGACCAGGACCTGCAGCGGGCAGTGAGCCTCGGGCTTCCAGAAGCATCACCTGTCACTCATCTTTGCAGGAGGGGACACACCCAGGGGCCCGATGTCTCTGCTGCCGTGTGAAGCCCCAGCCTGGGTAGGGCACTGTGGCTCGTGAACAAGCTGTACATGTGAAGCTTTCAGAACAGGGCTTGGAGCTGAGGGAAGCCCTGTGTGCGGGCTCTTTTGTTTATTTTAACTTTATTTAAAAAAAAAATTTGTGGCACTGGACGTTGAACCCAGGGCCTTCCCACTGAGCTCTATCCCTAGCTCTTTATTTTTAAAATTTGAGACAGGGTCTCTAACTTGCTAAGATGCCCACTGGACTCAACTTGTGATCCTCCTGCCTCAGCTTCCTGAATAGCTTTGGGCCCTAAACAATCATATATTGGTGGTTTTTGTTTTTTGTTTTGGTACCAGGGATTGAACTCTGACCTGCCAGGTGAGCATTTAGCTGCTGGGCTAAACCCCCAACCTGATACATTGGTTTTGATATAGAATCTCTCCGTGTAGCCCAGACTGGCCTCCAACTCTTGGTGATGCTCCCGCCTCAGCCTCCCGAGTGCTGGAATTATAGGCATGTACCACCACGCTCAGCTGTTTGTCTGTTTTTAAAAGTCATCTTTGTTTTGTTTATAATTATCTAATCATGTCATTTGTCCACTTTCTCACTGAGTTTTGGTCTTTTTCCTGTTGTTTCCTCAAAGCTCTTTACATGTGAAGGTAATTGAGCCTTTGTTTATTAGACGGTTCACCTGTATTCCCATTTTTTGTTGTTCTTTTTCTATCTTGTTGCTATTCTAAAAAGCAGTATAACAATTACTTGCATGGCATTTATACTACATCAAGTGTTACAAATCATCTAGGCATCATTTAAAGTATATGGCAGAAGCCAAGCATGGTGGCACACGCCCGTGATCCCAGCACTCCGGAGGCTGAGGCAGGAGCGTTGTGGTGAGTTCCAGGCCAACCTGGGCTACACAGCAACACCCTGTCTCAAACAACCAAAGCTAGGTGGTAAATGAAGCCTACGGCAGGATGTACATAGGTTACAGTAAAGCTCTGCACCAATTATAGGAGGGATTTAAGTATCTTAAGATCTTTCCGTCTGCAGGGAGCTCAGGAGCCCACACACACCCCTTCTAAAGACCAATGTCGTGGGAATTAAATCCAAATCCTTTGCACTGAATTCTATGCCCAGCCTTTTAAATTTTCTTTTTAAAGATACAATCTTGCTAAGTTGAGTAGGCTCGATTTGAATTTGCAGTCCTTCTGTCTCGGCCTCCCAGGAATCTGGGACATCATTAAAACAAATTGACTAGAGCAGATAGATGTGGTCCTGTGGCAGTCTCTTCCTAACCACTGGGTTACCTATAGATGTAGCCCTTATATTCTTATTGGAAAATCTCAGTGGGTATGGTGGCAAGGCTTCGAATGCCAGCGTTCTGGAAAGTAAAAGCTCAAGCAGGAGGATCATGAGTTTGAACTGAGTTTGGGCAACCTCCTGAGAACCTGTGTCAAGAAAGTACTGAGCATCTAGGTCAGTGCTAAGGTCCTGAGTTCAGTCCCCCACAGTGCTTCAGAGAAAACCAAGCCAGCCAAAGCAAACAAACAGAAAACAGAATTTCTTTGGAAACACAGATTAAACCGTCTGAGCTTTATAACTTCTCTGGGCTATAGCACACACTCCCCTCTCCTCCTCCTGAGCCCCAGACAGGCATGACTAATCGATCCCAGGACTCTAGGCAGACATGTCAGCCGATAGGAGCTGGGCCTTCTGCCAGCTTTCCTAAGTTGTGCATTTCTTTTCCCCTGCAGAACTGTGAAGGATAATCGCTGAGCCCCTGGAAGATCTGAGACCCCAATGACTCAAGAAAAGGAAGCCAGGGGCCATGAAGTACAAGCCGGGGGCCTTGAAGAAATACAAGGTATGTTGCACCAGACAGCATGGGGAGGGCATGTTGATGTAAAAGGGACCCCACCATTCTTTGCCCGGGGCCATGGAGGGATCTACAGTACCCAAGCATTAGGCAGCACCCAGCCGGGCCAGATCGTGCAGAACCGAAGTCTGGGAATCATGTGACATTGGCGAGCGACTTCCCCCCTTGGTTTTCTGAGACAGTGTCTCATCACGTAGGCCAGGCTGGCCTTGAACTTGTGGCAATCCTGCCTCAGCCTCCTGAGGGCTGGGGTTACAGGTGTGTCACCACCCTCCATTATACAAATATTCAATACTTTATGGAAATTCCAAATCCAAAACGCTTCAGGCCGGGTGTGGTGGTGCATACTGTAACCCCAGCACTCAGGAGGCTGAGGCGGGAGGATCCCTGAGCATTCCAGGCCAGCCTGGGCTGCATAGTGAGACCCTGTCTCAAAAAACAAAAAAAAAGTTTCTGGTCCCAAGCAGTTTTGGTGAGGAATATTAACTCTAGTTAATAATTCGTGTGCAAAATTATTTAAGGATGAAATGGATGAATGGAGAGCTGAGTTTAACTGTTTTTTTTATTTCTTTCTATTTGGGGGGGGGCAGTGTCTGGCTGTGTAGCCCAGGCTGGCCTCAGCCTCATGGCAATTCTCCTGCCTCAGCCTCCCAAACAGCTGAGATGATAGATGTGTTCTTAATGTTCTTCTATGCCTGAAAAGTTTTAAAATAAGTTATTGAAAGGAGTCATGAAAAAAATATGTAAGTAGGAATGAGGAAGTTTGCCTGGACCAGGGTTGATCCTGTAACGTTTCTCACCCAAGGCAATGAGTTCAAATCTTAGCACATGAAATCCGAAAGCACAGGGCCACTAGCTGCAAGTTGTGCCCTGAATAAAAACACTTGGCCCTGTTCCCCGTGACCCTTTGCAGTTGCCCCCAGGCTGTGGACCACCCACCGAGACGGAGAGGTCGTGCTCAGGCTGTCAAAGCAACATGCAGGCCAGGAGACCCCAATGACCATCCCAGAACTTTTCCAAGAGTCAGTCAAGCGATTCAGTGGGCACCCAGCGCTCGCGTGGAAGGGCAGGCGGAAATGGAACACGCTGAGCTTTGCCCAGTACTACACAGCCTGCCGGACGGCCGGGAGGGCCCTGCTCAAGGTACACGGGCCGCTCGTCCTCGTGTGCTCGGGAAGAGCCCCGCACACGCACAAGTGCACACGCACAGGTGGTACACGACAGACCCCGGAGCACACAAACATTTATTGGTGGAAATCTCCACTCTAATCTCAGGCCCTCGCCCACCCAGCTCCTGTCCATGGAGGACTTCACCATTGCCAGTTCTCTGAATCTGCAGGTCCTTTGGGGATAAATGATGTGACTTACATGCAAACATAGTCACATACATGGGAATGTGTTTACCCACAGTTCTGCAGCTTGCGTTTGTTTCTTAATGGAGTATCTCTATGGATGTAGGAGTTAGTTGCTGCTGTGTAACAAACGACCCCTTAGTAACTTCAAATAACCATTACTATCTCCCATATTCAATGGGCCAGGAATTCAGGCAGAGCTTAGCTATGGCTCAGCTATGAGAGCTCCTGAGATTTTATTCTAGCACCTAGAGCTTTCTCATCTCTTTCATTTACATTTTCAGCCTCTCGGTTTCCTGCCTGCATTTCTTTCTGTCTCTTTTTCCTCCCCCTCTTCTTTCTTTTTCTCTTTTTCTCTGTGTTTCCCCTGCTCCCCCCCCATTCCTCCCCACATCCCAGGTAGAGGAGGGAGGTCCTTGCCAGCCTTAATCACGCAGGATTCAAAAGCCAACAGCGTTGGAGGCCCCCAATGCAGGGGTCCCCCTCCAAGATGGTCCAGCTAACGTCCAGTCTCCGGGTCTATCATCGACCCCGCTGAGAATAATCCTGCGCCATTAAATGAGCAATTTATCACCACAGGCGACCACTCTTTGAGGGGTTTTGGTATGAAACGAAAATAACTTCACACCCACCAAGATGGCTGTTATTTTCAAAAACCGTGAAACGGCCACTGCTGTTGAAGCTGCAGGGAAACTGTAAGCCTGTGTGCTGTTGGGGGCGTGGAAGGGGCTGCGGCCACTGGAGAAATGCGCGTGACCGTTCCTCCGAAGATCAGACCTAGAATTAAGTGATCCAGCAATTCCGCTTCTAGGCACGTACCCCAAAGGGATGGAGAGAGCTGAACCCCATATCCACAGTAGCATTATTCACATTGTTACAGAAAACAGACCGAATGGGAGAAGAAACGCCACGGAGAAGGTTTAGGAGGCAGTTTATTACCCCGGTGGATTTGCCTGGGATCTGATAGCCCCGCCCAGCAAGGGGGAGGTACAGAGACAGATTTCGTGCCTTTATGATTAGAGGGTTGGGTGACGTCACGGGTTGCCAAGGGGGTTCAGGCTTGTCTGGCCCTGTCTGGTTGGTGTTGGCTGGCAGTCTTGGCGGGCTTTTCTAAAAGGCTTTTACTTAAAATCTTAACTTTCCTCTTCAACATAGCCGGAAGGTGGAGGGAACTCAAGGGTCCCTTGACAGTTAAACAAAATATCTCCCATCCGTACAATGGAATATTACTTATCTGTGAAAACAAGGGACGTTCTGTCTCCCGGAGGACACGCTGCTGGATGAAATAAACCATTCGAAAGGACGAACAAAGCAGGGTTCCACACCCAGGAGGTCCTTAGGGTCTTCAGATCCACAGCGACAGGAAGGAGCTCGGTGGCCCGGGCTGGGGAGGGGATGGGAGTCAGCGCTGCATCCATGGCCTAGAGCATCAATTTGGGGAGAGGATAAAGTCCTGGAGACGCACGGTGCTGGCAGCTACACACCCACATGAATGTCCTTCGTGCTTCCGACCTGTGCACAAAGCACAAGGCGAGAAGCCGGGTGTGACGGCGCACATCTAATCCTAGCAGCGCTCCGGAGGCCGAGGCAGGAGACTCTCCCAGAGTTTAGGGCCACCCAGGTCCACTCGGTGAGTTGAAGACCAGCCTGAATTGCTGTCTCATAAAACCATTAAAAGAAAAAAAACCATAAAAATGATGGAGATGTTAAATTCCGTGTCGCACGTATTTTGTCAGCCAGCAGGCTTCCCGCGGACACAAAAGCACCAGGCCCCACATTTTAGGTCCAGCGCTAGTTTGTGCTCAGTGACCACACTGCGGAGTCCGTCCTAATGACCACTGAATGCCCGAATCACAGCCCGAAGTGAAACGGTCTGAGTGTGTGTTTTCTCTTCGGCTTCCAGCTGGGCTTGCAGCGTTTCCACGGCGTGGGGATCCTGGGCTCCAACTCCAAGGAGTGGCTCATAGCGGCTGTGGGCGCCATCATGGCGGGGTAAGGCCAGCACCTCGGAACCTCGGAGCGGCCCGCGGGGTGGCCCCAGGGCAAGGCGGGTTTTCAGCTGGGGTCCCGCTTAGCAGGCAAAAATCCAAGGTGTGATAGAAACCTACAGTGGGTGTGTACATGAAAACCAAAATTGATGCTGGGTGTGGTGGGGCACGCCTATGATCTCAGCACCCGGGAGGCTGAGGCAGGAGGGTCGCCTAGAATTCAAGGCCAGCCAGCCTCGAATGCATAATGCAGATTCCAAGCCCAGCATTGTGTGTGTGTGTGTGTGTGTGTGTGTGTGTGTGTGTGTGTGTGTGTGAGACCTTGAACAAGCAGCCTCATAAGCCTGGCCCTGTTTTGTTTTGCTTTGGGAGACAGGGTGTCGCTATGTTCAGGCTGGCTTTGAACTCACTGTGTAGCCCGCCTGCCCTGGAAGTCACCGAGATCCTCCTGCCTCCGCCTCCCGAGTGCTCGGATTACTTGTGTGCACCACCCCTCAGGCCCTGTCTTTTGTGCCTTGTTACATTCACTGCTGTCCAGCTGGGGAGGACGGAAGCTGGGGCTCTGGATTCAAGATCTGCTTGCAGACTTGTCCCCTCCCCTGGCCTGCCGGGTCCTCGCGCTGCCAAGTGTGTGGACCCGCACGCACACGTGTTTTCTTTCCCCAGGGGCCTCTGTGTGGGCATTTATTCCACCAGCTCTGCCGATGCCTGTCAGTACGTCATCGCTCATGCCAAGGTGAACATCTTGGTGGCTGAGAATGATCAACAGCTGCGGAAAATCCTTTCGGTAAAATCCCAGCTAGCACTGCTATCCTGAGTCGCCCAGCTAGGCACACATTTGCTCTCTTGTAGCTGCTGAGGAAAAATGAGATGGTGGATTTGGGTGTGGGGGTCACACACCTGTCACCTCAGCTACTTGGGAGGCTGAGGCGAGAGGGTCTCAGGTTTAAGCCCAGCCTACAGAACACAGTAAGACCCTGTCTCAGAATACAATAAACAGGGCTGGGAGTGCAGCTCAGTGATAGAGGATTTGCCTAGCAGGAAAAGGAGCCCAGCAGGAGGTCCTCAATTTCACAAGAAAAAAAAATTGGGGTGGTGGAGTTGGCCCTACGAATGGTGAAGTCCTCCATGACCACACTGATATCCTGGTAAAGCTATTTTTGGGCAGGAGCACAGTGCAACACAAGAGTTTTAATTTCCAATTTACATTAACTTTATCTACTGAGTCTCCATTTTATTTATTTTTATTTTTTTATTGGTACCGGGGATCAAACTCACGACCGCCTGCTTGCAGGACAGGAGCTCATGCCGCTGAGCTAGATCCCCAGCCCCTGAGTCTCCATTTTAAAAGGCACTTATGTGTTGTCTTACGAACACTTTGATATTTATTATTTTTCTTTTAGATTATTTCACACCTATGCTATTCATGTCTCGATATCGTCTTCATTTTCAGAATGAGCTTATTTTTCCTCTTCTGCTTCTTTAAGTTCTACGACTTCCGGTTTCATTTTTTCCTCCAATCAGACGCTCTCTTCCCTGAGCATGCGTACTTCGCTTTGTGCTCTTGCTTCCCAGATGTGTACGCTGCTTCCCACTTCAAGGCTTACGTTTGTTATGGTTTGTGTCTGGGTGGCCTCCCAAGCCTCATGCAGTCATGGAGGCAGCTGAATCCGGCATCTGTGATTGGTTCATTGTCTTGCACTGGGATTGGCTGTGGGAGTGCTGCACCCGCCCAAGGGTGGGAGCTGGCCAATAGTATAAGGGAGAGAAGGAGGCGGGCTTTCCCCTTTTGCTGTGCTTGCTCTTGTTACTGGCTGCAGCCCCTTCCTTGGAGCCTGCTGAGCATGGACTGAAACCTCCACAAACTGTAAGCTCAATAAACTTTCCTGCTCTCATTTCGGGTGTCAGGTGTTTTGTCTCAGCAATGAAAGAAAGTAACCGAGACAACGTTGGAGTGTAATTTTCTTTGGCTTTGTGCAGCACTGCCTGATGAGTTCTTTTTCTGTATAGTGATATGTGGTTCCCTGCCCTCTCTTTCTTCCTGTAGTGCTTTTCTATGGATGTTGGAGAAATGTCTTAATTTCTCACATGCATTTAAATGAACCTGATCTTGTAATCAGCTTCTGGTAGGGAATTTCTGACAGAGAGGACAGTCCTTGGGAGAAGCCAAGGTGGCCAGATTCATCATTCAGCTCAACAGCCACTGTGACCATTTCCTTAATATCCTAGGTCAGTGATGGCGAACTTTTTAGAGCTTTCAGTGATACAGACAGCCCGCTGTGGCACGTGTGCCTGCAGTGTGCCACCACTGCCCTAGGCATCATCACCCTGAGTCACATATGTCTTCACTTTGCAGGATCTGCAGAAGAGAAATATGTCTCCTTTTTGGAGACAGTGTCTCACTATGGAGCCCAGGGTGAACTTTTACCTCATGGCAGTCTTCCTGCCTCAGCCTCCTGAGTGCAGGGATTACAGGCATGTGCCACCATACCGGGCATGTATGATGCCATCCGCTGGTCATAGCTGCTCATGATTTCCCTTGTCTTGTCTCTGAAATGAGGGTACACTTAATGAAATCCTAGCTAGACTGATGGAAATTCTAATACTTTGTTGTCACTAGCCTTCCCATGACACCTAAATCCTGACCTGGCAGGGGGTGAACAGACTCCTGGGTCAACTCTTGAGCTTTTTGAAATTACTTTTGTTTTTCAGTACTCAGGATTGAATCCAGGGCCTGTAATGGTTGATATTTTGTGTCAAGTTGAGAAATGGAGAATCTTAACTAAGTAACTCAGCCATGCTTGCCTCCTAGGGTGTAGAGGACGCCCTTGCAGCTCTAAGCAGGGGGATGGGTGTCTTACTTTGTAAACATCTTGAGCCTGTGCAAGAGGTGAGCAAGGAACATGGTGCCAGCACTACCCCGATCTGGAGGAGCGGTAGCCTGCATGCGTATAAGCAGGAAAAGAGGCTCGTTCCCTTCTGCTGGTCTGGCTGCTTTTGCCTTGAGCTTAGCCCCTGTATCACACCACCCTGCCTTGCAGCCAGCAGACCGAGGACTGAAACCTCCACAAACTGTAAGCCAAGTAAACCTTTCCTGTCTTATTTTTTGATGTCAGGTATTTTGTCTCAGCAGTGAGCCAAAAACAACTAAGGCAAGGCCTTTGTACCAAGCTACATCCTGGCTCTTTTTATTGTTGTTGACATAATATCTCACTAAAGTGCTAACCTGGGCTTAAACTTGTGACCCTCCCAGCGTGCTGGAACGACAGGTGTGTGCCACCACACGTGGCTTGAAATTATTTCCTGAAGTGGCACATTGTCCGTACATTGTCCCCGTTTGTTCTTAGTGGTGGTGGGTGTGTGAGGGTCTCTTCCTACTCAAATCCTGCCTTAATGTGAGTTCTCTGCTACTGGAATACGCCGTTCCCCTGCACCTGCCTCAGTGCCCCAGGCATAGAGCAGTACGAGAACTATTTTGGTCTCCAAGTTCACGAAAGGTACAATTTGTGGAGATTTCAGTGTTCCAGATGCTGTCTCAAAAATTCAAAGCTGGCTGGCAGGGTGTGCTCCTCTCTGCTGAGAGCCCCCCAGCCCTTGGATGTCCCCGTGTGCTCCGGAGCCTCCTGGCCTCTGCCTCCAATCCCCACCCCCAGCCCTTCCGGCCTCCTCCCTGACCTGTGCTCCGGGGCGTCCCTCCAGCCGTCCTGAGCTTGTTACTGTCCCCAGACACCTCCAGCTACTGCGGGCTCCGGGCTTTTCGGGGACCTGCTCCTTCTCTGTGCAAAACTCTCGCTCAGGCTCCCTGCGGACTTTGCAGGGGTTTTTCTTCATCCCCGACAGACACGCACCCCAAACTCTGCACACTGCGTGCTGTTCGTGCCCTTTGCACTGGGTGGGCATGAACGGGGCCGAACGGAGCCTCACAGGCGGGGTCTGGGTAGTGGTTCTCAGTGTCTGGTGCCAGACAGCCTTGCTGGAGTCGCCTGAGTCCACCTAGTTCAGCCAGAGCTGCGCGCAGCTGGCAGAGTCCGGTCGGGGATGCGCCTGGACGCCGGCTCTGCTGCTGTCCTCTGCCTTTGATTGCTGGAGGCCACAAAGAGTCCACCATCTCCAAACCAGGTCCCTTCTGGGCAGTCAAGACCAAAAGCTCCTACAGGAGGGACTTGACCGCAGCCACCTCTGTCTTCCCCAGGGCCGGGTGGCCATGCGAGTTACTGAGCACCTCCTTTCAGATCCCACACCACAGGCTGGAGCCCCTGAAGGCCATCGTGCTGTACAGTTCGGACACGAGGCACGGCACCAACAACCTGTACTCGGTAAGTGCGGGAGGCGGACCCTGGGCGGGGCGGGAGGGCGTGGCCTCTCCGAGAAGGGGGAAGGCGGCAACGGGAGGGGTTGGGGCTGGCAGAGGAAGTGGGCGGGGCCGTGCCAGGGAAGTGGGTGGACTGACGGGATGTGGGAGGGGCCTGGCAGGGAAGTGGGTGCGGCCTGATGGGGAAGTGGGCGGGGCCTCGCAGAGGAGATGGGAGGGGCCTGCAAGGGAATTGGGTGTGCCCTCGCTAGGGAAGTGGGCGTGGCCCTTAAGGTGGGGGTGGGACCCAGCAGAGGAAGGTGGACCTTGTGAGGGAAGTGGGTGGGGCCTGGCAGAGGAGGTGGGTAGGAGCTGTCTCCCCATAAAGAAAAGGGCGCACCTTGCAAAGGTAGTGCATAGAGCTCTGGAATGAAAGTGGGTGGGGAACGTTTCTCTTTTCTAGGTTTTTTTTTTGTACCAGGGATTGAATTCACAACCTTGCACTTGACAGGCAGGTGCTTATGCTGCTGAGCTAAACCCCTGGCCCCTCTTTTCTAGCATTAAGGAGCTCATTAATGGTGTATGTTCTGGATATTTGTTACTGCATAACAGCGTATCCCTGAATGTTAGGTAGAGAGCCAGATGTAGCAATGTGCACCTGTAATCCGAGCAGTCCGGAGGCTGAGGCAGGAGGATCGCCGTGAGTTCAAAGCCAGCCTGGGCTACATAAGCAAGTTCAAGGCCATAGCAAGACCCTGCCTCCCCCCAATTATATAGATAGATAGATAGATAGATAGATAGATAGATTGAAACAAGAATCATTTTACTAATTTGTTTTTTAAAATAATCAAGTAGTAGAAAAATGCCCCTAAAATTGAAAATTAGATTTTAATTTTTTTAAATTTATTTTTTATTGGCGAGTAAATATTGTGGGTATTATAGTGCACAACATATTTTGATACAAGTATACGTTGTTGGGTGGTTATCATATTTAACATGTACATGACTGAAAATACTTATTTTTTCTTGGTGAGCACAGGTAGCTGTAAGCAATTTTTAAATAACCAACCCTTATTTTAGTTTAAATATTTTTCTTCTACCCAAGCCATAATATATTATAACTTTACTTTCTGGTTTTAATAGATGTAAAGTCAACATTAATGGTCTTGTTAAAACCACCAACTGCTTAAAAATATGGAAAATGTAGAGATGTTTCCAAAATTGAGGAAAAAAGAAAAACAAAAAAAAATATGGAAAATGTTTTGTGAAAAACATCATGAAAATAGTAATAATGAAAAGAGTGAGATATGTATATTAAATATCTTAAAATATGTACAATGGTAGTCATTCCTATCTGTAAGTAGATATTTCCAGACATCTGAAATGTACTCATTTATGGGGTACAGTGTGGGATGTTGTTTGTTTTTGAGACACGACCTTGCTATGATACCCAGGATAGCCTTGAACTCATGGTGATCTTCCTGCCTCAGCCTCCCAAGTGCTAGGAAACAAGCATGCGGCGCTATGCCAGCCTTAGTAATATCCATTTATATATTAACACTAACTAGGCAACTGATCAGAATTACAGCTATTTTCGAGGTTCCAAGCAACCACCACAGCAACCGCCTTTGCTGTGGATAATTTGAAAGCTTTCTTGATTAGAAATAGCCCTACCGGAGCCGCGTATGTCATCTCAGCTTTTTTTTTTTTTTTTTTTTTTTTTTTTTTTTTTTTGTCTTTTTATCGGTACCGGGGATCGAACTCACGACTGCCTGCTTGCAAGGCAGGTGCTTATGCCGCTGAGCTAAATCCCCAGCCCCTCATCTCAGCTTCTTGAGAGGCTGAGGCAGGAGGATAGCAAATTCAAGCCCTGCCTGGGTAATTTAGTAACTTAATGAGACCCTGCTTCAAAATAAAAAATAAAAAAGCCTAGAGAAGGAGCTCAGGGATGTAACCTCCTTGGGTTCGATCTCCAGCACACAAATAACAAACAAACAAAAACACTGAGCAGCCGGCTTTCTTCACCCCTCGATTTGAATGAAACACGTGATTCTGGGTAGAAAGCGGCGATCCTGGATTTGCAGGGTGCAGAGGGCATCTCTGGCCTCCACCCGCTAGGTGGCAGTAGCACGCTCTCCACTGAAACCAGCAAAACTCTCCAGAAATTGCTCCATGTCCCCAGGATGGCAATCACTCCTGGCTGAGGACACTGATTTGGGGGAACAACTTTGTGACATCGAACACATCTACTTGTCTGCAAGGCCTGATAGTTTTAACATTCCGTTTGGGAACACATTCCTTAGGACCGAGATGAGCCAATTACAATAAAATGTGGGGATAAAAATGGTCACTGAACTGGGGTAGCTTGCGATGCTTGGAGGCTCAGTACCGACAAAAGGCACCGGTCTTGAGTTCCCGAGAGAGACAGGACAGCCTTGGCCCTGGGACAGCGGGTCTCTTGCCAGCTGTGTTTCTTTGTGTGCTTGCTTTTGAGACGACAGCTTGCTACGGAGGCCAGGCTGGCCTTCACTTCGCACCATCCTCCTTGAGGGAACGGGTTGGACATCTGTCAAGAAGGGACAGGGACCTCTGCCCGCGAAGGGCTATGGTGGCCTGAATTTGCCTGCTCAGGTGGGGCCAGCACATCACTGGCCATGTCTGAGAACCCGGAAGCTCTTCCATCTTGCAGTCAGCATGTACCCCTCACCCGGGTCGTCACGGTAGAATTTCTTCAGGTTTCACTGTTCACCAAATTCACGCACGCACAGACTGCAGTCACACCATCTTGGTTTGTATGCACTTCCTTGATTTATTTGCTGTGACCTTGGACAAGTGGGGGATGACACACCTAATCCATCCTCATCGGTTAGAGAAAAAAGCTTGACTCTCAATATCTTAAGCAAAAGACTATCATTCACGTTTGGAAAAGGTGCTCAAGAAATGTTCCTTGGGCTCCATTTTGCTGTTTCTTGGACTCTTAACACTGGTTTCCTTCATAATTCTGGGATGCTTCTTCTGGAGCTACATCGTGGCTCTTTACCTCATCTATGTCCTACAATTCCCAGATAGTCTTCATCTTCTCTGTGATTAGACCATTTCGAGTCACATGCCCAGCCTCTATCCAATCCCTGTGACCTTTTGATAGACTAGTCTGACTTCGTCCAATCAGAGTAGGCTTTTGGAGCTGAGTGCAGTCAGCCTCATCCAATCAGCAACTAAGAAATAGGGGGCGAGCCTGAACTGGGGAAGACTGACTTTTTTTGTCCACAGTGGGATGAGTTCATGGAACTTGGCAACAGCGTACCTGACGCCCAGCTGGATCAAATCATCAAGAGCCAGAAGGCGAATCAGTGTGCGGTGCTCATCTACACTTCGGGGACTGTGGGCGACCCCATGGGCGTGATGCTGAGTCACGACAATGTAAGCAAGGCCCCCTCGCCCTGCTCCTGCCCCTGGGATGGTGGATCTTGACTTCTCAACCTGATTGGCTTGGGAAATGCCTGAGAGGTGTGCCCCTGGGGACTCTGTCCCCTCCTGGCCCCTTCCCCTGACCTCTGCTTCCTGATCGCCAAGAGATAAGTAGCTTTGCTCCTCCCCTAAGCCCTTCTTTTTTTAAATTTTCATTGTGTGTGCAGTACATAATGTCCACCTTCCTCTGTTGGTGAAGGTATATAACATATCTTAATTTCCTTATTAAATCCCCTTTCCCTCCCCTCTCTCACCTTCCCTCCATCTCTCCATCCCCTTCCCATTCCAGGAAGTTCTCTCTCCCTTTCAGGAAAACCAGTGACCCACATTTATCTTTCTTTATGGCTGAGTAGTACTCCACTGTGTGTTAAATAAACACATTTTATCTGTTTATTGTTTGGGCAGCTTTCACAATTTAGCTAATATGAATTATGCTACTGTGAACACAGGATGGTTCACTGTGGTATAATACTTTTAACTCAGAAAGGGTTTAGCTAGGTCAAATGGAATTTCTAGTTTAGTTTTTTGAGGACTTCATCTGATTTTTTTAGTGGCCGCTTTAGTCTGCATTCTTACCAACAGTGTAGATGGGTTCCTTTCTCTCCACATGCTCAACAGCATTTGTTAGCACTCAGTCTCTTGAGGACGGCTGTTCTTCCTGAGATAAGACGGAATCTAAGTGTTGCTTTATTTAAATTTCTCTAATGGTCCCCCGGAACTTTCTACCATGAGGTTTCTGCATTGGAGCAGCTGACTATGAACTGAACTCACTGCAACCATGAGCCAAAATAAATCTCTCCTCTTTTAAGCTGTACTTTGTCCCAGCAGTAGGGAGTTTATTAGTGCGGTTCCAGGAGCAGGGCGGCATTCAGGGGTGTAGCACACAGGGAGTGTGGGTCCTCAGCCACCGGAGTTAGAGAGTTGAGGGGTGGCTTCAGAAGGGGTGGTGGGATCCGAGGGTGACTTGGTCACTCACTGTTGATGGGGATTTAGTCGCTGGTATAAAAGAATCAAGTAAGTCAAGTGTGACATTTAAAAAGAAATCTTTGAGCTGGGCGTGGTGGCACACACCTGTCATCCCAGCCCTGCGCCTGTGGGTGGTGGTGGGAGCTTGCTAAGTGAACGCAGACTCAGTGGTGCCCAGCCGTGAAGATGGTCACCAGGCTGGGCCTGTGTTCCAGATCACGTGGACCACCAGGGCGGTGGTACAGGACCTGGGGCTCGCCACCACCTCGGGGAAGCAGGAGCGGGTCCTCAGCTACCTGCCGCTAAGTCACATCGCCACGCAGATGATAGACATCTGGATCCCCCTGAGGATTGGGGCGCTCACATACTTCGCACAGCCGGATGCGCTCAGGGTGAGGCTAAGCCACCAGGTCCCACAGGGCGGCCGCTCCACAGATGCAGTTTTAGGTTTGGGGGCTTTTGTTGATTGGTTGGTTTTTGTGGGTTTAGTTACAGGGTCTCACTGTGTAACCCAGGCTGGCCTTAGAAGTCACTGTGATCCTTCAGCCTCACTTCCCAAGTGCACACCTGTCATGACAACTACCGAGGAGGCTGAGGCAGGAGGATCACAAGTTCAAGTGAAGGCCCTGAGTTCAATCCATTTCCATCAAAAAAAATTTTTTTTAACTAAAAAGTTGATAGCATTTTCACATTACCTTCCACAAATAAGGGTTATTGAGAGTTGGGGATATAGCTCAGTGGCACAGGGCCTGCCTGGCAAATGCAAAGTTGTGAGTTTGATCCCAGGTACCAAAAAAAAAAAAAAAAAAATCAGTTGTACCCAATCAAATATCTAGAATTAATATGAAAATCTGATTGGCTACCAGCCAGCCAATGGGTTGGCTCCACTGGGTCAGGCCCCCTCTTTGGTCCAATGAGTGAAGGGAAGGTTCTCTAGACACCATAGGTGAGTGAATGGGGAGAGATGAGCATTTGGGGGTCCATGAACGTCAAGGCTGTGACTCACCTAACTGCTGGGTCCCTGCAGGGCACCTTGATAAGCACTCTGAAGGAGGTAAAGCCAACCACCTTCCTTGGGGTGCCCCGGATTTGGGAGAAGTTCCAGGAGACCATAGAGGGCAGTGTTAGCAGGTTCTCCAGCTTTAAGAAGAAGATGTTCCACTGGGCCGAAAGGGTTGGATTAAAGACGCACTTGAGGCAGATGCTGGGGTAGGTGGGGCCCTGGGGCGGGGGGCAAGGGGTCCCCCCTTTCTGCTCAGTGGGCACTTTTGAGCCGTCCTCGGCGTTGTCATTCACAGGAAAACCGACCTCTCCATGAACTACCACATGGCTAAGAAACTCGTGTTCAACAAGGTCCGGAGCTCCCTGGGCCTGGATCACTGCCACTCTTTCCTGAGCGGGGCCGCGCCCCTCTCCGAGGCCACCCTGGAGTTCTTCCTGAACTTGGATGTCCCCATCAGCGAGAGCTACGGCCTGAGCGAGAGCTCGGGACCCCATACCATCTCCAGCTGGCGGGACTACAAGGTCCTCAGGTACCGCCTGCACCGGCCTGGCTTCCCTGGTGCCCGGGGGCGAGGGCTGGTCCTCGCCACCCGGCTGGTGGGTGCAGAAGCATCCAGCCGGCGTTTGTTTTTGTCTTACGGAAGCCACCTGCACCTCTAAAGGGATTCTCGGTTTAGGCTCTTGGCCTCCCTCACAGCCTGTAGAAGCACCTACTGTGTGACCTTACAGGGGCAGACACCAGGCCGGCAGGTCCCAGCCCTGGGTGCTGAAGGGGGCAGCTGGGCAGGGCACTAGGGGCCTGGGCTGCAGATGCAGGTGGCCCCAGGTAGGAGGCCTTGTCGCTCTGCCCCTCAGTTCCCCCACTCCTGTGCCCCTGCAGCTGCGGCAAGCCGCTGAGTGGCTGCAAGAGCCTGCTGCTGGGCGACGGCCAGGACAGCCCCGGGGAGGTGTGCATGTGGGGCCGGCACGTCTTCATGGGCTACCTGGAAAGGGAAGACGCCACCAAGGAGATGGTGGACGAGGCCGGCTGGCTTCACTCCGGGGACCTGGGCCACGTGGATGGCCAGGGTTTCCTCTACATCACCGGCCGCATCAAAGGTACTGGGGTGCCTGGTGTTCCTGGCTCTCTGGAGGCTGAGGCAGGAGGATCACAAGTTCTGGGCAACTTGGTGACTGAGACTGTGTCTCAAAACTTAAAAAAAAACAAAAATAGGCCTGCGGATATAGCACAGCGCCGTAAGCGCCTGCCTGGCAAGCACAAGGTCCTGAGTTCAATTCCTGGTACCAAAATAATAATAATAATTAATTTAAAATGAAAAGGGCTGGGGATGAAGCTCCACACAGTGGCCCTGGGTTCCATCTCTAGGACCAAAGGGAAAAAGAAAAAGAGGATGTGCAGGCGGCAGGCACAGTGTGCTCCCGGGTGTCCCTGAAAGCCCCTGAGCTTCCGAGGAGACGTCTGTCCTTTGGTCCCTCGGGGCGGTGTCTGTGGTCACTGTCACTGTGCCGCAGAGCTCCTCATCACGGCCGGCGGGGAGAACGTGGCGCCCGTTCGCATCGAGGCCCTGGTGAAGAAGACACTGCCCATCGTCAGCAATGCCATTCTGGTGGGCGACAGGGCCACGTTCCTGTGCGTGCTCCTGACACTGAAGGTGACGCCCGGCAGCAGCCTTCGGTGCCCCATCCCTGCCCCAGCGTTCACCGTTGGTTTCTGGGTCTGTGGGGCCTGGGTTGACCTTGTTGGGGGCTGGCCCGGCAGTGTGTGGTGACAGGGATGTCCTGGGCAGTGCGAGACCAATCCGACAAATGGGGAGCCTCTGGACCAGCTGACCTCGCAAGCCATAGACTTCTGCAAGGCCCTGGGAAGCCAGGCATCCACCGTGTCAGAGATTGTGCGCTCACAGGACCCACTTGTCTACGCCGCCATCCAGCGAGGTATAGATACCGTGAACAAGGAGGCCACCTCCAATGCTGAGAGGATCCGCAAATGGGCCATCCTGGAGAAGGACTTCTCCATCAGAGGTGGAGAACTCGGTGGGTAGGCTGGAGAGCTGACCCTGACCACAGGGCCTTTGCACCTGCTACTCCTGCTGTCTGAAGTGCTCTTCTCCATGTGTGGCTGCCTCTCCCTACTTGGCCAGATCTGACCCCCCAGGCCAGTTTCTCATGGCAGCCTTCCCTGAAGGGGTGGCTGGAGTAGCTCACCATAGCCCTCAGTCACCTGTGGTATCAGCCACCAGTATCCTTCCCTCCTTAATGGGTCAGACTCTGAAATTATCCTGTGCACGGATTTCTTTGTTTCCCCTCATGAGAGAAGGGCTCGCTCCGGGGGTGGGGGACCTGGATTCTACTTTAAGTTCTTTCGTTGTCTGAGCACTTGGCTATAATCTGTAGGGTCTTCTTTAGTTTTTGAGACAGGGTTTCGCAGTGTAGCCCAGGCTGGCCTTGAACCCACAGCCGTCCTCCTGCCTCAGCCTCCCGAGGGCTGGGCTGACAGGTGTGCGCCACCACATGCAGATTTTGGCTATAATTTGAATGTGGACAGGAGGGAGCCAGGGTAGGGCTAAGCGTGCAGCACTGAATAATGTGGGTTTGAACCCTGTCCCCCGCCATGCAAGGAAGGGACCTGTCCCTCTGAACCGTTACAAGTAGTCACACGGAGACACCTTAGGGGTGCTTCCAAAGCCCCCGGCGACTCAGGTCGGAGCCGGCCTGGGCTGTGCGGCAGGCGTCTCCCGCGTGACAGTGTTGGTCCTCCCCGGCTCAGTGGCTTCTCCTGTCCTGGTAGGGCCCACAACAAAAATGAGAAGATGTTTCATAACTCAGAAATACAAGTCACAGATCGAAGGTTTCTACCTCTGAGGGCTCCGCGGCTCCTGGCGGTGAGTTCTGTGGCTTGGCTTTGCCGGGCTGTGGGGAACGAGCCCAGCAGGGGGCGCCCGTGCCCGCAGGCCAGCCTGTGTGGTGGCACCAGGCCTCACGCTGTGCCATCTGCCCGGGCCATACTCGGTCTCCAGCTGTACATCTTGCCTTTTCTCTAAGCCAAAGAGAGTGGTCTGTCCGATCCAAGGAAGAAGGGGTAAAGTCGTCCCACTGACCAGGGTCTTTGTGGAACCCCCTAATGTTTTGCTGCAGCAGATCTGGAGGTCTTTGCAAATTTTTTTTTTCTTTGTCTTTTTGAGACAGGGTCTCGCTATGCAGTCCAGGCTGGCCTTGAGCTCACTTTGTAGCCCGGGCTGGTCTCGAACTTGCCAAGATCCTCCTGCCTCAGCCTCCTGAGTGCTGAGATGACAGGTGCGAGCCACCATGCCCAGCTGGTATTTGCAAATTTTAACAGGGCAAGTTCTACTTGCCAGGAACCCAAGGACTCCCCCTCCCCCATTCCCTTTACCCCAGATGCGTCCACAGGATGCCTCTATGACGCTGAGTCACTGACAGCAATTTTGGGGACCCAGCCATATGCATGGTGTGAACAAAGAGTAGAATCATCTGCAGCTTTCTCAAGGGCCACCTGGAATCTTTTATGAGCAAAATTGTTCTCTTTTTTTTTTTTTTTTTTTTTTGTATTTTTACCGGTACCAGGGATCGAACTCATGACTGCCTGCTTGCAAGGCAGGCATTTATGCCGCTGAGCTAAATCCCCAGCCCCGCAAAATTGTTCTCTGATGAGCCAAACTGTGCTGTCCCATGCTTGTCACTCCACCACTCAGGAGGCTGAAGCAGGAAGATCACAAATTTGAGGCCAGCTGGGACTACCTAGGGACACCCTGACCCACAAAAAACCCCAACAAATCAAACCAAACCAAAATGTTCTCTTTTGATGCTATTTACATGAGTTTATTTGGGCTGCTTTAATAAAATACCACAGATGGAGGAGTTAAGAACAGTTTATTGGCCAGGTTTGGCACATGTCTGTCGTCCCAGCACTTAGGAGGCTGAGGCAGGAGGATCCTTGCAAGTTTGAGACCAGCCTGGCCTAGAAAGTGAGCTCAAGGCTGGCCTGAACTGCATAGCGAGACCCGGTCTCAAAAAGAGAAAAAAAAAAAAAAAACAAACATGCTGTAAAACATATTAGATGTTAAAGGACCAGTATGAAAAAATATAGAATATCTCAGTATTTTAAAGCTTTTGGGCTAGTTTGCAATCCTGATGACCCTGCAGAAATATCCCAGGCACCCTGAACTGCACGAACTATATTAAAATCCATCATCTCGGTCCCTCTTGTGAGACGGGGCTCTGAGAACATCATAAACCGCGCAGGTGGCTCGCGTGATTTCTCCGGGAGGCGCCCATCTGACAGTCACCATGGAGGGAACTCGGCTGACAGTTTACACAGGGTCAGTTCCCTCAGGGCTCCCTCAGCGTGGTCGCCGTGGGGTCTGGGGTGCGGGGCCTGTCACCCCCAGATCTCCACGCGATGACCTGAGTTTCTCCTCTCCCTGTTCCCCAGGGGCAAGCCCGCGGTCACAGCTGGGGTCCAGCGCTCGGGGACGGGGTCCCCTCCCCAGGGAGCATCGGGAGATGACTCCCCATTGGCTGCCGCACTTTAACACAGTGAGACCCCCACCTTTCCACAGAGCGTCTCCTGGGGCTGCAGAGCGGCCCACTCCAGACACCTACCGACCGCAGCTGGACTCATTTATTTTCTGTCCACAGAGGACCTGAGACATTAAAAAGAAACAGCCCTCACAAAAGTGAAGAGCCGGACCCCCAAACTTCCTCGCCTGCCTGGAAGCTTCGTGGGAAACCCAATAAGTTCTGTGCACACGGCACCCTGCGCCTCTTGTCTTTTTTACTAGTTAGTACCTCTATGCGTGGTGCATTTTTTTTTTTATTTAATGTCTCGCTATACGGTTGTGGCTGGTCTTGAACTCCAGGCGGGCTCCCTGCCTCAGCCTCCTGAATGCTGAGATTGCGGGTGTGCACCACCCACGCCCAGAGCTCCCGTGTGCAGGACCGCACGTTCACACTCCTGGAGTGAGCTGGTACACGTGCACAGGCATTCTGCTTCCTTCTCTTGGCCACTCTTCCTCCATCTCTTGGTCTCCTTCCTTTTAAGAAGGATCCATTTCCTATTATCGAAGTTGTATTTTGCTCTTTTATATCTTGAGTTTCTTGTGCAGAGAAAGCATGTGACGTCTCGGCTTGCACATCTGGCTTAGTTCGCTTCACGTTAGGCTCTGGAGGTCCCGATTTTTCTAAAGTGATTCGGGCGTGCCCTTTTTCGTGGCAGATTAGTACTTCGCAGGGTGTAAACAGACTTCCCGCAGCCACTCCCTTCCAGCTAGACACAGACACTGTTCCGTGCAGTCTGATGGGAAAGGTGACAGCTTTGAAGTCACTTATGGATTCAAATCCCAGCCACTTGGTGTGAGCTTAAGCTTCTGAGGACCTAAGAAGTTTCACCTGGCAGCCTCACAGACAACCCCGAAAGCTCACATCTGATACACAAGGATTGGTTACATGGCCGTCAGAACTGTTTTGAAAGCGCCCCTCTTGACTAACTCCATAGTTAGGGACTGGTTTTGCTACTGTAATAAAGTCTAAATTAACACCCACTGAAAACAGATGTTTATTCCTCCCGCCCAAGGGCTTACTACATAAGCAGATCCGAGCTGCAATGGTCTGTTCTACAACTAATACTGAAATAGACTGAAAGAAAAAGGGTTCATTTTGGCTTATGGCTTTGGAGGTTTGAGTCCATAGCCAGGTTGGCCTTCTGCTTTTGGGCCTGTGGCAAGACAGCACATCTCGTGGCAAGGCAAAGTGTCCCATCTTAGGTGGACGGGACACAGTGGGAGGAGTCTCGGTTCAATACCCCTTCAAGGCCACACCCCAGCGACCTGAGCTCCCCGAGCGCCCGTGGGTCTGGAACCACCGGACCAATCGGCCGGGCGGTTGGGAAGCCAGACCCGAAGGAACCGCTGGGCTAAAGCCAGCTGCTGTTTTTTTTTTTTTTGCCTTTTTGAGCGAGGGTCTCGCTGTGGTTCAGGCTGGCCTTGAGCTCACTCTGTAGCCCAGGCTGGTCTTGAACTTGCCACAATCCACCTGCCTCAGCCTCCCAAGTGCTGGGATTACAGGCGTGAGCCACCATGCCTGGCAGTCTGTATCGGAATTACTCGTAATTAGCAAATGTGGGAGAAAACCCAAATGTACACCGAAGTGGTACAGGAACAAAATAAGACTCCCAACCTGCTAGGAAACAGATACGAGGAGCTCCTGTTTCCCCAAGTCTGAGTCTGATTCTAAGGATCAGCGGGTGGCCAAGGAGCCCACTTCAAGAAAGTCTCCAGGTGGGTGAGATGTGGGAGAAAACCAGTCAACCAATAAGATGACAAGTGTGGCCTCTTGGCTGACACTGACCCAGTGGTAGCCAGGGCACATGGGCAGCATCACTAACCCTGGTTGATAATCTATAAAGTCTCAGCCCCATGTTTAGTCTCAATTCTTGGAGGGTGAGAGGGTGGCTCACCCCAAGCAATAGTTTATTTCAGTCCTGGGGGTTTTCACCTCCTGTACCCCCTCGAGGGCCTCGCCCTGTCTGACTGCTTGTGATATTTATCTTAGTTGTCTATAAAAAAGAGGATCAGCATGAGGCCGGGGCAGCTGCCTGGCAAGTGCAAGGTCCTGAATTTGATTCCCAGTACTAAAAAAACAAGTCGTCAAAAGTAGACACACACCGGAAGCTCCTCCACAATAAAAAGAAATGAACTTTTAGACTCACACAGGCAAACTTTTGATCAGCTGATGAAGTCAGACCCAAAAACTTTGTCTTTTTTTATTTTTGGTTTTTTGAGACTACAGAGGATCTTGCTGTATGTCGTTCAGGCTGACCTTGAACTCACTGTGCAGTCCAAACTGGCCTCAACTCACAGCGATTCTCCTGCCTCAGCCTCCTCAGCCTCCACAACATTGCAGTTGTGTGCCTCTACATCTAAGGATATTCAGTGGTCCCATTTATTTATTTCTAGTGGAGGCAGGACTACAGGGACAGGAAGGAGAGGCTGGTTGGCTGGAACTCAGCAAAGGTTTGATCTCACACACATTCAAGAGAGCTTTCAAGGAAATGGGACCCTTCCAACTGCAGACTGTGGTGACCGGCACCCAGCTGTATGACTTCATTGAGAATCCGAGCCGGTCCTTTACACCTGCTCTATGGTCTGTAAATGACAGCTCAGATATGGGCTAAACAATCACAGCCAAGTGCACTGACCACTCTTCCACTGCTATCACAAAATACCCGAGACTGAGTACCCTACAAATAAAGAGGTTACATTTGGGGTTTGGTTTTTTGTGGCTGGCCTTGAACTCACGATGATCCAAGTACTAGGATTATAGGCATGCAACACCATACCTGGCAAGAGGTTAAATTATTTAGATCACAGTTTTTGGAGGTTCAAGGGCATGGTTCTGATGAGGAGGTTTGAGAGAGCAACAGACAGACAGGTGGATGGAGAGAGGTACAAGAGGGTGAGATCACATGACAGAACAGGAAGCCAGAGAGAAGGGAGGGGCCAGCCTGGCTGTTTTCAGTTTTTTCAAAACCAAGGTTTTACTAGTCAGGGGTGTGGTGGCACACATCTGTCATCTCAGCACCCAAGATGCTGAGGCAGAAAGATCACTGTGAGCTCAAGGCAAGCCTGAAATACAGTGAGATCAATTCAGCACACACACACACACACACACACAGACTGGATCTTCTATGTAGTCCAGACTAGCCTTAATTCACTATATAGTGCAGGGTGGCCTCAAACTTGGGGCAGTCCTCCTGCCTCAGCCTCCCAAGTGCTAGGATAAAAGGTGTGGGCCATCATGCCCAGAAGACCATTCTATTACTTTTTTAAGACTGTTAAATGATTTTTCAAATCTCAAAATGCAACAGTATCTGAAAACACACATGGGAACAGTTTATTGTGTATTATACCAACCACGGAGGCCATGAAGAGGAGGACAGGATGCCCTAAGAGTAACACTGCACAGGGGGATGGGCAGGCCGCAGGGCACAGTGCAAACGAACTCAGACTTTAAGGTCCTTGCCGCACAGAACTCAAGGGAGCCGGGGCCCTGTTCCCATCTCTGTTCTTCAGGCTTCTGTCACTACAGCACTAACTCTGGTGTCCTGCCAGCTCCTCCCTGGGGACCGTCATCTTGCTGGCTCTAGGGGTGGCAGAGGAGGAGGTCGCAGGAGGACCCTTCCCTGCCCCTGAGACCAGCCCCTGCCAAGAGGCAGCAGCAAGCTGTCCGGTGCCGTGGACCTGGGCCACGGAACCCAATGAGGTCACAAGGGCTGGCTACAGACAGGAACTTTCTGGATGTCCAGCCTGGAGACTGCTTATGACAGAGCGGATAAAAAGAGTTGGGGCCTGTGACAGAAAGGGGTGCCAGTGTGCTTGGGGGGCGTATATATTCCAGCTCCTCCAGGCATGAGCCACGCGGATGGGAGATGGCCATAGAAGGTGCTAGAAAACTACACTCACCCATCTCACCCCGTTTCCTGCTGTGCCCCCCACCCGTCCACATCAGCCCAAAGACCGCGGTCAGCCCGCTCCCGCTCCCGCTCCCAACAGGCTCCCTGACTGTCTCGAGACTGGGTGGGAACCTCGTCCTCCCAGCGGGTCCCTCGGCGCCCTCCACACCCCGCACCGCTGTCACCTGCCGCCTGAGTGTCCCCCGAGGCAGTGACACAGGAGAAACAGGCACGATGGACACCGAGTCCTCGGACAGGAGTCCGAACCCATCGGAAGGCAGCGTTCTGCGCACTGAAAACCTGAGGTGGGCATCCCTGGGTCCCTCGAGACTGAGGGCGGGGAGGGTCCAGCCATGTCTCCGGGGCAGGTCGCCGGGAGAGAGCGGAGGGGAGGCTCCGCGTGCCCCGGACCGGATCCGGGTCAGAGGCGGCCGAACCCGCCCGCCGGTGGCGCCCCATCGCCCGCCCGCCTCGCCGCGGCCTGCCCTGGCTCTCGGACCCCGCCGTCCCGTCCCGTCCCGCCCCCACCAGGCCCCCCTCCCCCGGGCCCGCCACCCGCCCGCCGGCGCTCATGGCCCGCCCCTCCGGCAGCTACTGGACCACGAGGCGCGACGGCGAGGTGCGGCTCCGGCGGGGCAGGGTCTCGAGTGACCAGCAGGCGCCGCTCACCGTGCACGACATGGTCATGCACTCGGCCACACGGTACGGCAACTACATCGCGCTCGGCACCAAACGCAGGAACCAATGGCACCTGCTCACCTACATCCAGTACTACGAGCTGTGTCGCCGCGCCGCAAAGGGCTTCCTCAAGGTACGGCCGGGGCGGCCCGCGCATGCGCCTTTCCGGGGACGCGTCTGCGCCTGCGCGCCTTCCCGGCCCTTCTCCCGCTCCTCTCCTGCGCCTGCGCAGGTCTCTTGGTTTCTCCACGCCTCCACATTTGTGTGCGTATTCGTCCTTGTGCGCCTGCGCATCCCCCCAGCTTCTCTGCCCGCCCTGCTGCTCTTGCGCCTGCGCAGCATTACTTTCTTAGTGTGCTGGCTGTCGGATCTATTGTTCACGATTCCTGAAACCAGATGTTCAGCTTTTCAGGAAATTGTGTTCGTGGGTTCGAATCCCAGCCCTGCCATGAGCCACGGGTTCTTGTATGAGTTATGTGGCCTCTCTGCTGCCCAGTTTCACTATGTATAAGATATTTGCATAAAAAATAAGTATAATGTATAAAATGCGTGCTTTACGTAGGAAACAAATGTAAAATAAATGGTTAGTATGATAGAAATACACGTTTAATGTTTAAGACGTATCTAACATATAAGATGTAGCTACTGTTCACATATTAATCTCATTTGGTACTTCTATACTACGTTTAGTATAATACGTTATTTTATATATGTTAAATAATATAGATACATAAATTGATAATATATTTTCTTTGCAAATAAGTGTGTTATCAATAAGTTATTCATATATATGAATAGCTATTTTGAAGAAAACGACATTATAATAGCTAGTGATGATTTAATATCAGCTTGTTTTGAAGTCCCACCAAGCTTTTGTTCTTCTGTCTCCATCGGTTTTATCATGTTGTATCTTACTGGATTTTATTAGATGTGACAGTATAAACAAAATTTTTATGGACAAGGAAATAATATAGTAACCATTGTTCGTTTTCTGTTAGTTGGTTCTGAATACCCTGTAATACTTTCATTCTCTTGAATGGTTTTACACTGTCTTGTTATGTTTAATACTACAGTGTATGAAGTTACACTCAAATATTTCAAGGAAAGAGACACTATGGTAGCTACTGTCATGTCAGGTTTTCTTGTGGTAAAACACTATGTTGCTTAAATTGTTCTGTCCCCTTTTAATCTTTTTTTAAAATAAAAAAAGTTATTCATATATAAGAGCACTGAACTTGAAGGTTTGCAGCGGGGACTCTGGCTGAGTCACATCAGGAAGCTCTGCGATTTGGCTTCCTCAGACAGGGTCTCACGCTGTAGCCCAGGCTGGCCTGAGACTCCCAGCAACCCTCCCGCCTCAGCCTCCCGAGTGCTGGGGTGCGGGCGTGCACCGCCGCCCAGCCCCACATTGTGTCTACTGTAACAGTGAGAACACCGCAGAGCGGAGGCCAGTCAGGCTGCTGGGCCGACTCGCGCAGGCAGGGTGGCGGCGGCCGAGTCCCACAGGGCCTCACGAGGGTGTTCCTCCAGCAGCTGGGCCTGCGGCGCTTCCACACCGTGGGCATCCTGGGGCTCAACTCGCAGGAGTGGGTGATCGCCAGCATTGGGGCCATCATGGCCGGGTAAGGTGTGCCGAGAGAGACGCCCCAGCTTGCCCCTGCCGAAGACAGCTGGGGTCTCCCTGTCGAGTCCCCAGGGCAGGAAGCTGAGCTCGATTGCCCGTTTTGTCCATGCTCAGCCACATTCACCCCAACCTAGTCTGGAGCATGCTCAGTTCATGCTGCTAGCTAGACATTCTCTCCCCCAGTGAACTCCTATACATCTGATGAAGCCCAGCCCAATCCCGCTCAGGGTTCCCCAGCACTGAGTACTCTCTTCACCTGTTCAGGTCACGGGGAGTGGGAAGGGGGAGCCTTTTAGGCGGGACCCAGACCCTGGATTTCACTGAGTTGAGCAGCAACTTCGAACCAGACACACTGTGGGTGTCAGGTTACTGAGGACTCCCAAATCCCTGAGTTCCCAGGAGCATTTGCCACAGGACTCTTTTGAGCTCCTGGACTCTGCTTGCAGAGGCATCTGCGTCAGCATCCTGCCCACCACCTCCTCGAAAGCCTACCAGGTCATCGCCAGGAGCTCTGAGATAAACGTGCTGGTGGTGGACAGCAGTAAACAGCTGCAGAAGATCAGCCAGGTGAGCGCCGCTCAGGCCAAGGAGCAGGGAGTGAACCCGACAGACAGGACAGCGGGGCGTGGGGGCGCGCACCTGTCATCCCAGCACTCAGGAGGCTGAGGCAGGAGAGCCCCAAGTTCACACCCAGCCTGCACACTTCAGTGACTTTGCAAGATGGTGTCTCAGAAGGAAGAGGAGGCTGCCAGGATGTCGCTCGGTGCACGGCCTGGATTCAGTCTGCAGTACCACAGGGTGGGGAGGAGTGGAAGGCCGAGGCAGGAGCATTGCAAGTTTGAACCCTGCCTGGGCAGCTCGCCCAGGCCCCGCCTCTAAGTCTCAAAAAACTCGGTTGATGAGCGCTTGCTTATTTAGCACATTCAGGGTCCTGGGCTCCACCCCCAGCCCTGCAAACAAACAGAAAAGATGAGGGTCCCCTCTCCTCGCCACCTCCTCGGGAAGGAGCCCAGTATCAGTGGCCAGGTCTCCCCATGGGTGGCGCTGAGCCCAGGCGTCCTGTCCTGCAGGTCCAGAGCTCCCTGAGGCACCTCAGGGCCATCGTGCAGTACAAGGAGGCCATCGAAACCCAGCAGCCCAACCTGTACTCGGTACGTGAGCCCTTGGGTGACCTCGAGGCCCCCCGGAGCTGCGAGGGATACGAGGGAGACGGTGCGTGGGTGGGGGGCTCCGGGTCAGCTCTGCCCCCCGCCCCCCACTCCTGGCCTCTCGGCAGTGGCAAAAGTTCCTGGACCTCGGCGGCCACATCTCGGATGAGAGGCTGGACAGCATCATCGACGCCCAGAAGCCAAACCAGTGCTGCGCCTTGGTCTACAGCCTGGTGGCCACGGGTCCCCCCAAGATCATAATGCTCAGCCACGACAACGTGAGCGTCACACGGTGTGGGGAGGGATGGCACCTCTGCACTCGGGCCTGCAGGTGACAGGCTGGCTGGGTCCCCACAGATCACCTGGACCACGGCGGCCACCGTGCAGAGCCTGGGTTACAAGCACCCGCCCAGGGGGCAGGAGGTGCTGGTGAGCTACCTGCCGCTCAGCTATGCCAGCGCGCAGATCCTGGACATGTGGGTGGCCATCGCCGTGGGCGGCACCCTCTACTTCTCTCCTCAGGACGCCGAGAAGCTGGGAGACATCCCGCACCCGCCCGGAGCTGTGAGTACCGCCCGCCCGCCCGCCTGGGGGTTCCAGGGCTCCGTCCAGAAGGGGGAGCCTCGCCCCGCACCCTACTGGCCCTGCAAACTCTGCTTTTCTGTCTGGGCCTCCGTTTTCCTATCTGGGAAGTGCAGCAGGTGAAACAGATGTGAACTGTGATCCTGGGGACAGCATGCACGCACACTGACACATGCACACGTGCACTAGGCGTGACACTGCTGAGACACAATTATACCTGACATCTACGCCTTAGAGAGTTTTTGTTTTGTTTTGTTTTGTTTTGTTTTGTTTTGTTTTGTTTGTCTCTTTGAGACAGGGTCTCGCTGTGCAGCTCAGGCTGGCCTTGAGCTCACTCTGTAGCCCAGGCTGGTCTCGAACTCGCAACGATCCTCCTGCCTCAGCCTCCTGAGTGCTGGGATGACAAGCGTGCGCCCCCACACCGGGTGCAGAGAGAGTTGTGCTGGTGCACAGTTAGGGCCCACGGTTGTCCCACACAGAAGGACATGCACTGCAGGGCCCCACTGCCAGGAAGCCCCAGTGTCACCAGATCCACAGAGACAGGAGGAGGACGGCAGGGCCGGAGCCGGACGGGAGTCAGCGTTTCCCAGGGACAGAGGAGGGAAGTCCCGGAGGTGGACAGCGTGAGATGGACTCCATCTGCTGAGCTGTACAGTTGGAAATGGTTATGGTTAGCCGGACAGGGGGCGGGGTGCATGTCTATAGTCAGCGGCTGGAGAGGCTGAGGCAGGAGGATCCCTGGAGCCCTGAAATTCAACCCCAGTCTGGGCAATATAACAACACTCTGTCTCAAAACAACCACCCCCACCACCAGCAGCAGAATAGCTTACCACGATGAAGCCTTTGCCGCCTGGATTTCACTACCAAGAAAACTTGTACCCGAGGGTTCCAGCCTGCAGGCGAAACTGAATCACAGGAGACTCACTGAGGGTAGAAAGCCACACGCTTCCTGTCCACCAAGACTAGCCACGACGAGTGCCGGCTTCTGGTCACTCAACCACCTCACCATCCTGAGGCCAGGTGGTGGGCGGGGAAGCCGAGGGTGTCCTGAGGGCGTTAGGGCAGGAGCAAACTCCTGCAAAGGTTTCACCGAAAAACAGCAAGAAGCCTGAGGGGCTGGGGCGCAGTCTGGAGGTGGGCACTGGCCTGGCTTGTGCGGGGCCCTGGGTTCCCCCTCCCCTGGTGCCTCCTGAAAAAAGTCAGAATTTTCAGACATGAATGTGTTAAAATTTCACATCGTTTTCACATGTCATGAGATGACATGTGACATGTGACACATGACAGATGACATGTGACATTTTTCAGTGCTGGGGATGAACCCAGGGCCTTTGCATACACTAGGCAAGTGCTCCCCAGAGTAGCACCCCAGCCATTTTCTGTGTTTTATTTTGTTTTGACTTTGAAGTCAGTATATGGTCCAGGCTGACCTCAAACTCGCCATGATGCTCCTGCCTCAGCCTCCCTAGGGTTGGGATGACAGGGGGCGCCCTCAGGGGCACAGCTGGCTTAGGGCAGAGCTCAGGGCTCCTTCTCTGTTCTTGCTTACTGGTAGTTTGGTTGGGATCGTTGCTGGATCCCTTCTGGTAACAGGAGACTGAACATAGCTAGAAAATCAGAAAGTGACTTCACTGCCACGTGCTTTCCTGCCTCTTGCTTATTGTGGGTTGCTTTGTTTTGTTTTGTTCTGTTTTTTGGTACCAGGGATCACACTCACGACCTCGTGCTTGCCAGGCAGGTGCTTGTGCCGCTGAGCTAAGCCCCAGCCCCTTTCTGTGGCTTTGTATCTGCGTCCTTCCCTCCCGTCTCCTCCTCCTCCTCCTCCTCCTCCTCCGTCTTCCCCTCTCCCTCCTTCTCTTTCTCCTCCCTTTCTGTCTCATGTTTTTCTTTCTTCCCTTTACCTCCCCTTCCTTCCTGATCCCAAGCTGGGGACCAGGCTGAGCACGGACCCCTGAGCTGGCTATGGCTCGGCCGTCCTGTGAGGTGGCTGGGGGACCCCGAGGAGCCCCACTGGTCACCCCGGCCCGGCCCTGCACCCTGACCCGCTCCTGGCCGCGGCCCGCAGGGCTACCTGACGGACCTGCTGCGGGAGGTGCGGCCCACCACGTTCCTGGCCACCCCGTGGATGTGGGACCGGATGATGGACGGGCTCAGGACCAGCCAGCTGGCGTCCACGGTCCTGCGCCAGCGCATCGACGCCTGGGCCATGGACGTGGGGCTAAGAACCAACAAGAAGCGCATGTTCGGGTGAGGCCGGGGGGCCCGGAGGCTGGGGTGACGGGGCGTCCACAGGCCGCTCGGCCATGCGGGGCTCCCCGGTTCTGCTTCTCAAGGGAGCTGCATTCCTCGCTGAACTTCCGCCTGGCCAAGAAGCTGACCTTCAGGCGCGCCCGGAAGCTGCTGGGCCTGGGCCACTGTGAGAGGTTTCTCAGCACCGGTGTGGGGCTGTCCAGGGCCACGCTGGACTTCTTCCTCAGCCTCGACATCCCCATCTACGAGCTCTACGGCCCGTCCGAGTGCACGGGCGTCCACTCGCTGGCCACAGGCCAGGACTTCCGGCTGCTGAGGTGGGCCTGGCCAGGCAGGAGGGATGCGCAGATGAGCTGGGGCGGGAGGTCCGACCTCAGCTTTCATGGCAGCCTACGGGATCGTGCTGCGGTTTGACCGAGAGCAGGCTGTGTGATTGCAGGAATCCCTGTGTGACTCCAGGGACGGCTCTGACTGTGCACCTTCTGCCTTTTTATTGACCTTCCTTTGCTGCAGAGACAGCACAGTTCCCTGGCATCTCCAAAAAGGGCACTAATCCAGTCCTAGGGGCCTCACCCTTGTGACCTCGTCTGACCCCCACTCCCCTCCCAAAGGTCCACCTCCAAGTATCATCCCCCTGGGGTGAAAGACGTCTATGAATCCTTGCATACAGGCTAGAGCATCATGCACCTCACGTGCTGGCCAGGGTTAGATTTTGTTTGTCTTTTCTGCCCTTGAGACTGAACCCAGGGCCTTTGCACTGAGCTCCATCTCTGCTCATTTTAACTTGGGACTGGGTCCCACTAAGTTGCTAAGGTGTCCAGGCCATGATCCAACTTACAGTCCTCCTGCCTCAGCCTCCTAGAGTGCTGCGATGGCAGGTGTGCCCTGCCATAATGGACTCAGGCCCAGTGTAACCACTGCCCCCATCACCAGACAGCCGGGGAGAAAAGCAGGGCCAGTTGGGGTCTGGGTGACCGGTGGAGGCCAGGTCTTTATGGGCAGGTGCAGGGCCTGCCCACCCGCTGGTATCCCAGGACACATCCTGTCCCCGCTCCGCTGTCCCCCACCTGGAGACTTTCCCCCACACAGTGTCCTGAGTGTCCGTGTCACCCTCTCCCCTGGGCTGGCCGAGGGCTGGGAGGTTGGCTCCCGCCCAGCCCAGCCCAGCACTGTTTTTGTCACCCATGGTCTGCGCTGTGTTCCCCAGGAGCCGAGGGAGCGCCGGGTGGCTCTGGGGAAGGGAGGTGGAGTGGACTTGGGGCGGGGGAGCCCCTCCCCAGGGAGGAGCGTCCAGCCAGTCTGAGGCCCCCCCACCCCGCTCCCTAGCTGTGGGAAGGGGCTCCCCAGCACCCGCACCAAGGTGGTCGAGGAGGACGAGGAGGGCATCGGGAGCATCAACATCTGGGGCCGGCACGTCTTCATGGGATACCTCGGCGACCAGGAGGCCACCGTCAAGAAGACGGACGGCTACGGCTGGCTGCACTCTGGCGACCTGGGCTTCCTGGATGTGGATGACTTCCTCTACATCAAGGGCAACAGTGGGGGTGAGGCGGACAGGGCCAGGCCCCAGGGCTGCTAGGGACAGCGGTGCAGGTTGCACACAGCACAAGACCAAGTGAGGGCCACAGTCCAGCTCGGAGGGAGGGAGGGAGGAGGGAGGAGGGAGGAGGGACCCCTGCGTGCACTGGCAGCTTCTGGGAGATTGACACCCCACTTCCTGCATGCAGACATCATCACGCTGAGCTCAGGGAGGATGGTGAACCCGAACCCCATCGAGGAGCGGGTGAAGGAGCACATCCCCCTGGTCCGCGGCGTCCTGGTGGTGGGCCAGGACGCACCCCACCTGTGCGCCCTCCTCACGCTCAAGGTGCTTGGGCTGCCGGGGCTCGGTGGCCGTGGGGACCTCGGGGTAGGGTGGGAGTCGCCATCCTCACGGACAAGGAGGAACCTGAGGCTTGGAGATGATGGGGTGACGGTGAGGGGGCCGCTTGTGACCCCCACGGCTCCCCCTACAGTGCCAGGTGAACTGGGAGACGGGGGTGCCCCGCAAGGCACTGACCAGCGAGGCGGTGGCACTGTGCCGGAGACTGGGGAGCCAGGCCACCAGGCTGGAGGACATCGTCCACAACAACGACCCGGTCATCGCTGAGTTCATCCGCAAAGGCATGGAGGCCGTGAACGCCGAGGCGCCCTCTGAGAGCGCCAGGGTTGTCCAGTGGGCCGTGCTGGACACAGACTTCTCGGTGGGCGGCGGGGAGCTCGGTGAGCAGAGGCGGGGGCCTGGCCGGTCAACGGCAGCCAGCTTGGGGTCCTTCAGCAAAACATGTTGGGTCCCACTGCACGCAGTGGGCGGGGCTGGGACCCCTCAGCTCTCTCCTCAGCCCTGAAAGACGGGCTGCCTCCAGTGGGGCCCTGGGTTCCATCCTTGGCTTTTAGGGGTTCCGGGGTCTTTATGTGCTAGTATCAAAGGAGTCTAGTACGCCATCCTCCAGGATGGGGGCCCCACTCCTGTGCCCTGTGCTTTTTATTTGCTTTGTCTTTGAGGAAGGGTTCACTATGTAGCCCAGGCTGGCCTCAAACTCGGAGATCCTCCTGCCTCAGCCTCCCGAGTGCTGGGATGACAGGCGAGTGCCACCAGGAGCTTGGCCACACCCAGCACCTGGGCTTCAGGGCCACTGTCTTGCACAATGAGGGCTGCCATCCTCTGTGGTAGTGCCCGTGGAAGGCAGGAATTGTTGGGGTGCTTTGGCACACAGGCTTTGGCCCCCAGTCCCTTCCCACTGGTTCCTAGGTAAATCCCCCAGCCGCCCCAGTGCCCTCTGCAACGCTGACGTGGGCTCGGCTCTAAGGACCTGGGGCTTCAGGCTGCTGTGTGGCCCCGCTGAGGACCCCTTCTGTCACACCTAGGAGTCACCTCGAGACTGAAGAGGGCGACTATTTTGAAGATGTACCAAGCCGAAATCGAGAGCTTCTACAAGGACTAGGGACACCTCTAGAGGCCAGGAGAGGCCCTGGGCAGCTCTGCCCCTCACGGGGGCCTTAGGAGGCCCAGATGCGGCCTTTTGACCCTGCCACCACGGCCACATGACATCGGGGGACCTGTTCCCGGGGGACAGTGGCCCTGTGGGGACTCTGGTTGGAAGCATCAAGCCCCTCTTCGGGCTCTGCCTTCCAGCAGGAAAGAATAATAAAATCAGCTCCCTGAAGCGGGTCCTCAGCCCGGAGCCGGCCTGCTGTCTCAGACCCTGTGGGAGGTCGGGGGCACCTGTGGCTGGCAGGGCTGGGGTGCAGCTGGTGGGGACAGGGAGGAAGCCGGGGGCTCTGCTCAGCACCCTGTAGTCCCCAGGCCACCCCGCGGAGGCCACCGGCATCGTGCCCATAGTGTAGGGGGACCCTGACCGCGCCTCGACAGTTCTGGAGACCAAAGCTCCGCTTCTCTCCTCACCTGGAGAAGCACGTGCCTGGGGCTCAGTCCCCAGGGAGAGCGGAAAGGGAGAAGAAAGGGGTTAACCAGGCTACAGGGCTGTCAGGGCGTGGTGGGGGGGCGCCTGTCTGCGCCCTGGAGCACATGCCAGGGTTCCTTAAAGATGACCTCACTTCCTGCCAATGACCTCGGCCCTCCCATGAGGCTCCTGAGTGCACCCTGAGCCTGGACCTTCTGCAGGTGGGGTGCTCGCCGCGGGATAGAGGACGTGGGGGGCTCCGCCCTCACAGGATGGGGCCGGGCTGGAAGCGAGCAGCGCCTAGCTCCATGACCTCTGGACACAGCCCCTGCGCTGTGTGCGCCACGGGACTCCCAAACTGTGGGCGCAGCAGACGTCTTTATAAGAAACAGCAAAGTGGCTAAGTGGCCCAGGCTGGGCAGGAACTTGCGCTCCTCCTGCCTCAGCCTCCCGGAGGCCCAGCACGCCCGTTTCAGGGTCCGTTTTAATAGGAATCTCGAGGGAAGCCCAGGACAACAGAGGACACACAGGCAGGGCCACTAGAGAACAGGTCAGCTCCTAGATGGAGGCCCCTCAGCCAACAGGCCATGTGGAGAGGAAGCAGTCATCAGCACCAGGCTCGGGGACAGCAGGGGGTCAGCAATGACGCGGGACCCACACCCAGCGTCCTGGGAGACTGAGGCGGGAGGGTGGCAAGGGTTTTTTTTGGTCCTGGGGATCGAACTCATGAGCTCATGCTTGCCAGGTAGGCGCTTATGCCGCTGAGCTAAATCCCCAGCCCCTGGCAGGTGTGAATTCTGTTGGACAACTCAGTGACTGTCTCAAGATGAAACAGGACACAGCTCAGGGGCAAAGCGCCTGCCTGGCAAGCACGAGGTCCCGAGTTCAGTTTCTGGTGACCCCACCCCCCCGGAAAACAGAGCTGAGGGTGAGCTCAGTGCAAAGGCCCCGTGCTCAAGCTCAACCTCCAGCACCACAGAAAAGAAAAGAAACAGCAAGCTGGTTTCCGTGAGCCCTCGGGAGGTGGGATGGGGGACAGTGCTGGGAGGTGTGCAGCTGACAGGGAACCCTACAAAGTACCCATCGTAGGTATTTTGTGATGGCAATAGACAATGGGCCATCCAGTTTCTCTAGGTGACCCCAGATCACAGGAAAGCTTATAAAGTACTGCCCCAACGTGTAGGAACTCAAATTCATCTTCAGACAGCTCCCTGCCGGACTGCAAGGCCACCGGGCAGGGCTGGGCACCTCTGTATAGAAAGCTCTCCCAGACGTCACCTTCGGTCGGGAGTGACTGTGGGGGAGGCCTCAGCACCAGGCACCGCTGGCCTCGGGCACAGACACGTGTGTGCAGCGCCACCCGGAGCAGGTGCCCGCTGAGGTCATTTCCCCACTTGTAAACAGGGATGGTGGATTCAGGCATTGTAGTGCCCATCTGTGGTGCCAGTACTCGAGAGGCTGAGGCAGGAGGGTCCCCCTAAGTCCGGGCCAGCCTGAGCTACACAGTAAGCACCTGCGGAAACCACACGGGGAGTCCGAGCTGGCCCAACTCGAGGGGCTGAGGCACCACAGGGCCAAGCACAAGGTGTCCCACGGTGTCCCACAGTCCTCCCGCTGCCATGGGGACCTGTGCAGACCCTTGCTGACTCCACCGCCCTGCAGCCCCCAGCGGGAGAGGGCTTCAGGACAAACAGCCCCTGGGGGCCCAGTGCAAGGCTGTGCCTCCTTGTGGAGCCCCCAGCTGCCACCTGCTGAGACAAGCTGCCCCAGCATGCGGGGTGGCCTGGGGGTACAGGCCGGCCCTGTGTCGGGAGCCGAAAGCACACAGACCGGGCTCAAGGAGGCCAGCGAGAGCTCTGCTGGGGTCCCTCAGCCGTCACACCAGGGCCACTGCAAACTATGCGTGGAAAGGGGCAAGCAGGTGCCTGGGCTCCCACAGAAAGTCGCTGTCCACTTTCTCCTCTGTCCACCTTCAGCTGCCCACCCACCCATTCATCCAGGGAAGCCAAACTCCACGTGCAGGCCCAGCCTGCCCCCTCCCGCTTTGGATTGCTGGTGGTGCCCCCACCCATCCTCCAGGCCCTATCCCTGTGCCCGCTGCCCAGCAGACCCGGTCCAGTCTCCCGCCCGCCCCTGCTCTCCGCCCTGCGGGTCCCGGGACACTCGGGACCTGGTGCCCTGTGGAGGCCGCACCGATGCAGAGATCAGCTTTCCCATCTGACTTTATTTCACTTTTTTTCTATAAAACTCCTCCATAATTTCACAATTTAACAAAAAGTTTAAAATCCAGGACAGAAACAATCCTGTGACGCATTACAAACACACTTCTTTTTCCTTTGATCCAGGAGTTGGTCTTGGGCCGGTGAAGTGTCCAGTTGCTGTGAGACACGTTCTTGGTTAGAAACCCTCGAGGGAGAGAAGGTATTGGATACCTTGGGTTCTGGTGTCGGTTTACAGTTCACTCAGGAGGGGCCGGGGTCCGTGTGAGAACCCTTCGCCCTTCCTGTGGAAGTGTCCCCGAGGCCATGGCTGTGGCGGCGGGGAGGGAGCCGGAAGGCTGCGGGCAGGGCCCGGTGCGGCCCCGCGTCCAGAGCAGCCCTGGAGGACAGCGGCCAGGCCTTCTGGCCGGAGGAGGTAACTGAGAAGTGGGTCGGCGCTCTTGGAGGTCCTGGATCCCGAGTGGCAGAGCGCCAGCCCGGGTCGCCGAAGGGCTCCCGGGCCCCTCAGGCAGGAGGAAGGCCGCGGCCCGGAGCAGCCCTCTGGCCCGAGTCTTGGAGTTCCCCGAGGGGTGACGGTACAGCCCCACTGTGAGTATTGCTGGCCTGCCTGGGAAGGGGACGTGGCAGCGGGGCCCACGGGCAGTGGGGCAGGGGCCGGAGTGGCCCGAGGGGCTGCAGAGGCTCCCTGCGGAGTGGGCGGGCCTCTCCCCAAGAATCTGGGGAGCCTCCAGCAGTGCTGGTGTGAGGGATGCCCTGTAGGCAGGGGTCCTCCAGGGAGTGTTCTGTCCGGCTCAGAGGCTCAGAGCAAGGGTAGGACCAGGACCTCAGCAGCTGGCACCTCCCATGCCTGAGCCTGTAGGGGAGGACAGGACACCCAGGGACAGGGTAGAGGACGTGGGGCCACAGCTAGGTCAGGGCATCAACACTGGCAACGACTACAGTCGGATGAGGGTCTGGCGGTGCTGTGCAGGGCCGGGTCCAGGAAAACCGAGGGCGGCGGGTGCGCTGCACCAGGTCCACGGGCCCTGCGAGGCTGAGCCATGGCCCTCGGAGGACCTCGGGTCGACAGGAGACTCCCAGGCTGGGCCTGGCGAGCGCGGAGGCTGCGGCAGGAGAGGAGGTGGCCTGAGCGCCTCCTGATGCCAACCAGCCTGTCTTATTTGGCAAAAGCTCATTTGTTCAAAGTTCGAAGACTTGATCGTTGACCGTCGAGGAAGAGGGTCCTATGGAAGAGGAGCCCCGGGGACGCGGACACGCGTGTCCCGGGTGCCCTGAGGACAGGCCACCCCATTGTGGCTGTAGTGTTCACTGGCCCAGGGGCCTCAGCGTCCTTGGAACCAGAGGGACGCTCCCTTCAAGCCCTGGAGAGGGCGGCCGAGGGAGACCCCGGAGACACCTTAACCTACAAGCCCCCCTCCCGCATCCCCCCACCCCCCACGTGCAGCTGGCACAGAAACGCACACGGAACCGCTCCTGAACACACGCAGCGCACATATATATAATACACGGACAGCTGTACAGACGGCCAGCCTGGCCAGCCGAGGACCACAGGCCTTCGAGGGGCTGGGCCCCGGCGGCTTCCAAACCGTTTGGGGGGCGGCTGCTCAGGCAGGCCCTCGGTCCCGAGGCCGAGGCCGGGCGAGGGGCCCTCGGCCACACTCGCCCCGCCTAAGCTTTTTCCTCTTTTGGGAGCCAGGCCCAGCTCTGCCTTCTGCACAAACCGCCCTCCAAGGGGGACCTGGGTGACCGTGCCCGGGTGACCGAGCCCCCAGGGCGCTCGGGGGCCACCCGGGAAAGTGCAGCTGGCGGCGAGGGCCGGCAGGGCGGTCACTAAGGCAGTGCTGTGGGCGGCGGTGCGCGGGGAGCGGGGAGGCGGGCGGGGTCCGCGGGGCCTCCCGGGGCCTGGGCGGTCATGTGGCCACGGCCTCCAGGTAGCTCTGCAGCTTGCGCACCGTGCTCTCGTCCAGGGAGAAGAGGTCGAAGTCGAAGGTGGTGTTGGTGACGTTGAAGTGGCCGGTCTCCTCGATCAGGTTCACAATCTGCAAGAGGGAGCGGGCTCAGGGCGGGAGCGGCGCGGGGCGGAGGGAGGGGCGCCCCTCCGGGCCTACCTGCTGCAGCACGTTGCGCTCCCTCAGCGCCATCAGCCGCCGGTGCAGCTCCACCAGCTCGTCCGTGTAGGCCTGGGAGGCGGCAGGAGAGCCTCAGCCCGGCAGCCCCCCGGCCCCCCGGCCCCCCAGCCCCCCGCCCGCCGGCACCCGCCGTCACCTTGTCGTAGGCGCCCTTCTTGAGGATCTTCTCCGGCTTGCTGCAGGGCTCAGGGCTCCTGCGGCCCGCCGCCTGCGGGAGACCAAGGCGTCGCCGCTGAGCGCCCGCCCCGCCCTCGCCCCGCCCTCTCCCCGCCCCTCGCCCCAGCCCCGCCCCTCACCTTGCTGTTGGGCGGGGGCGGCTTCTGGGGGGGTGGCGGCTCGCGGCCAGGCAGACAGGAGTCCCCACTGTTGTCACTCTCGCTGTCGCTGAAGCTCAACCTGGACACCACAGAGAGCGGCGTCAGGCCAGGCCCTGCTGCACCCGGGCCTCCACCTCCGCGCCTGCGTGTGCGGCCCACTGCGTGGTCCTTTCGGGGTGAGGCTAGGATGCAGTGTAGGGTGCCCCGCCTCCCCGTTTTCTCCTCTGCAGGAGGCGGATGCAGGAGGGGACTGAGCTCTAGACCAAGGCCAGTCCCTGCCGGCAGGGCGGCGCTGACCACCAGTGAGGCCCACAGCTTCGTCCCAGCCCAGGCGCCGAACCCCGGCCTCGCCTCGTCCAGGGCAGACCGCGTAGCTGCACCCCAGGCCCGCTGTGTCCCCCAGCCCCATGGGCCCTGCACAGTGTCCTCGGCAGCCTCTGTGTCTGGCTCCCGCTCGGCCTGGATCGCTGTGAGTTCGGTCCAGCAAAGGCCCCAACAGGTGCCACCTGAGAGCTCCCTGGGAAGAGGGGGGTCACCTGCACCTCACTACTGACGGAAGAACCAGGACGCGTGGAGGACCCTCTGCAGGCTGGGACCTGGCAGCGACCAGCGCTCAGCCACTCCTGCTGCCACCCGGCTGTGACCTGAGCCCTTGCTCAGCTCAGCTCTTCCCAGACCCAGATGGGTCAGGCTCTGGTTGCCAGGGCAACAGGACAGCCTCCAGCTGCTCCTCACCACGGCCTCTCTGCTGCATCCAACAGGTGGCCCAGGGAGCCTGCCCTGACCCGCACCCCAGGAGGCCCTCCCGTGAGGAGCCCTGGAAGACAGGACACCACAGGCGCCACAGGACGGTGCCAGCCAGGACCTGCACTGCCCGTTGCGGGCGGGGCGCCTCGGCGCCCAGCAGACCTGTGTGAAGACTGCGGGCCCTGCCCTCGGGATGGTGTTCTGTAGGATTGTGAAACCAGTCATGGCGCAGCTGTGAGGGCCCACAAGACTGCCATGGCTGCCAACTCACAGGAGCCCTGGAGACCTGAGGCCTCAGCCTCTTGGGGAGCAGACCCCGACTGGCCCTGACACCAACCGCCACCACATCCAACTGTCACTCCTGGCCCTGGATAAGCCCAGTGTCTCCCATTTGCCCGGAGGGCCTGAGGCAGGGTCTTCAGAGACCAAAACCCAGCATCTCCATCAAGCCAGGGCCCCAGAGACACACAGCCCGATCCCCACGTAGGCAGGGAGTCCCCAGGGGTCAACCACTGTCCCTTTTAGAGGGGATAGGCCCTTCCTGTGGCCACCACACCTCTTCTGCCCTGAGGGATGCTGCCTTAGGGCCCCGAGAAAGGGAACCGCAGCCGGCCCAGCCTGTGCAGTGCCCAGGGGGATGGGGTCACTGCAGCCCCAGTGTCCAGCAGGCTCAGGGGGCCCTCGTGCTGGGGACCTGACCTCAACTTGGTCCTCCTTGAGGACCCTCGGTCCAGGCCAGCCCCTAGGCCTCCCATCACAGCAGGCCCTGGTCACCCCGGTCCCCACCAGTGCCGGCCACCTCCCACTGGCCCAGTCACCTGGAGTCCCGGCCGGGGTTCACCTTGGTGGTGGCCTCCTCACCCGATGAAGAGTCACCCTCATCTGACTCCTCGGACTGCAGGTCCTCTACCATGGAGCGCAGGGGCCCTGGGGACAGGGTGGCAGGGATCTGGATGCGCCCTTGGGTGCTTCCCCAAAACCCACAGCAACTTCTCCAAACTGATGACCCCAGACAGCCCCGGAGCGGGGCCCAACCGCCCGCCTTACCTTCCTGGCCCTCTGTGCAGACCTCAGGCCCCTGTCTTGCAGCGGGACCGCAGGGGCCCTCCATCACCGGAGCCAGAAGACCAGCGCCCAGAGGCTCCCGGGCACCCAGGCCAAGCCCAAGCCAGTGCCCACAGGAGAGACCACAAGCCCTCCGCCCGCCCCTCGGGAACCCCGACCGCTGCTCCCGGCCCACCGTCCTCCCCTTTCTCCAGAGGCGCCCAGTTCCAGTCCCCTACAGACGGCATCTTGGTTTATATTCCTGTTGCCAAGGCAACAGAGGGACACAAAGCCCTCAATTACCTTGGTCATGTGACTCCCCTTCGGCAGGTCCCCTCCCTAACCCAATGATAGGAACACAGAGCGTGTGGGCGTCACGGACCCCATCCCCCAGTCCACACACGGATTCCAGGCCAGACCCCACTGCCTCCCCAGCACCTCTAGAAGGGTTCCGGCCAGAGTGGGAGGAGGAGGGCTGGAAGCAGTTCCCCCAGCCCACTAGAAGACCTGCTTCCGCTCGGGGGTGCTGCTGTGTCCCACAGGTTGCTTAGCCCCTGGGGATCCCACTCCAGGGCAGGCTTGTGCCCTCCCCAAAAAGCCCCTCACAGTTTGCTGGGAGACGATGTGCAAACCGGGTGGCCCAGGCCTCAGAGCCATCTGGGCGGCCACAGGGTATCTGGAGCCCCCTGCTGTGGACCACATAGAGCCACCACCTCGGGGAACAGGCCGGGCAGGGAGGAGGGAGGCTGGGGGTGGGCTCGGGTGCTGCCTACAACTCAGCTTGCCCAGGAGGACCGAGGACAGCTGCCAGGCCTCCTGGGCCCAGCTCAAGGTCTGAACCTGTTTCTGTTCTGCTCTGCAACACCGGCTCCCAGCCACTGACGCGTGGGTGTGTGGGACCCGAGGCGCCTGCAGGGGAGCGCTGGAAAGGGAGCGGAGTGGACCGGCCCCGGCCCTCGCTCTGCTTCCCACTGCCCTCCCGTCCCGTCTCCCGTCCCGTCTCCCGTCCCGTCCCACTGTATGTGACAGGCGAGGTGAACAGGTCTTATCAACAGCTGCAACCACAGGACGTCAGTGATGCCGAGGCTACGGACGGACGCGCAGGCTGTGAAGCAATCAGCTCCGGCCCGCGGAGCCCCTGCAGGGAGCGGGCCCGCACGCGGAGGACTCCAGAGCTTGAGGCAGACACCGAGCTGCGCTTCCTTCCACCCGAAGCCCCCTCTCCCCACAAACCCTCTCTGGGATGCAAGGCCGCTTCACCAGCACCCACACCATCCCCCCAGGCTGGGCTGTGACCCTAGCGCACAGCTTTACCCCAGGCCGCCCGGCCCGGCACCCCCAAGCCCGGCTGTCACCGGCACCTCCCGTGTGGCCTGCGCTCCAGCGCGCTGCTCACGATGGCCCCCCATCACACACCTTGGCTGTGGTTCTGTGAAGGCTCGAAATCCGAGTCTGAGCTGGAGTCGGAGCTGGAGCTGGAGTTGGACGGGCTGGACTGTGCGGACTTCACCCGGAAGGCGGTGGCGGCAGGACCAAAGGGGAAGGGACAGTCATCTTTCTGGGCAGCGAGGCAGGGCAGGGCCACTCGCTCCCAGGCAGCGTCCCTAAGGTGCCCAGCTCAGCCTTTCTGAGACCCCACAAGGAGCCGGTGCCTAGCTCTCAGGGCATAACGCCTCTGGCTGCCTAGGGGCACCCTTCCTACCCAGGGGCTGCTGGGTTCCCCATGGTGACGCTGCGGCAGACCCTGCCGGCCTCAGAAGTAGGTACCAGCTGCACTTGCAGTGGGGACAGGAAAGCTGGGGAGGTGACCGGACCCCTGATTCTGACTCTCATGCTGCCCCATGGCCAGCGAGCTGAGCAGGGGGTACCCACACGGTGCCCCCACATTGTCCCCCACCCTCACTGTGGACTTGTGGCTCATGGCAGACACCACACAGAGCAGGAAGCCCTCCCGGGCCCAGGCCCGTGGCCTGGTAAGCCTGGGGCACAGTGGGCAGCCCTGCCTCGAGCAGGCCCTTCCACCTACTACAAACAGGGACAGGGCCAGGAGCCAGCCTCAAGGCTCGGGCAGAGACCTGGGCACTGCCTGGGGGGGGGGGGAGCTGCTCAGGCTCCGTGGCCCTCGGTATCACCGAGGGCACCTGCCAAAGCTGCTCCTTGCCCACTTTCCCAGGGGCACCCAGAGCCCCGGGGACCCTGTCCTGGAGCTGCAGCCAGCAGGCTTCCCATGGACCCTGTGCAGTTTGATGGAGGCCACTCAGGAGGCAGCACGAATTGCAGCCAGGTTCCCCAGCACACAAGCGGAGCCCGAGGGCCCAGCTCCTCAGGCTGCTCTTTCGAGAAGCTGGGTGGGTACTTAGGGCTGGGCAGGGAAGGAGCAAGAGCTGGCTGCTCCCAGGGCCCTGCTGTCGCCCAGCTTGCTCGGTCCTGTGACCTATCAAGGACGTCTCCAGTGTTAAGCCTCAGTTTCCCCTTCTGTAAGGAAGTTGCTGGTGGGTACCAGCCTCTAGCACGCAGAGGCCCACATGATGCTGGCTGTAGCACCTCTCCCCCAGCCCTGTGCTGCCCCGGGCATGCGCTCATGCTGGGACTCGGCTGTGGGCTGCACAGGGTGGCAAGGACGTTGGCCCTTGGCAGAGGGTGACAGCCACACACACTTACATCGGAGGGGAAGGGAGGCACAGAACGAGGGGAGGGCTCCAGCCAGCAGCCTCAGGAGAGCAGTTCTTGGCTGTGACTGGCCCTTGAGCCAGATGGGACCTGCTGGCTCAGGAACCCTACGGGCCAAGGAGACACTGGGGAGCTGGGCTGGCCATGCGGCAGGAGGCGGACTGCGGCTGCTGCATGCAGGGGCCGAGCACTGGCAGGCAAGGTGGTGGGTGGTGAACCCCCAACTTCCCCGTGTGGCCACTGTGCTGCATCCTCTGCTGCAGGGGTCTGTGCTCGGCTGGGGCCCCACAGCAAGAAAAGTTAGACTGTCTGGCCCTGCTGTGGCTGGTCTGGGGCTCGGACCAATGGGAAGCCCAGCGGGGTACAGGGTGCCCTGGGGGAGAGCCCAGTGTCCACAGGCCCAGGGGTGGAATCCAGCCCCACTCAGAGCCTCCCAGGCAGAAAGCAGCACCCACAAAACAGCAGTGTTTCCCCGTGTCAGTGTAGAACTGAAAAGCAAGTTGGCAGGACAGAGCCTGAGTGGCGCCAGCGGCCACCACTTGCCAGTATGACGTGTGCAGGCTGCAGGTGCGGGACCTGCGCCTAGCAACACCTGTCATGAGAGCAGAGCCCCGCAGCTGTCCCAGCCCAAGACTCTGGTGCAGGCAGGAGGGGACGGGCGGCTGCAAGACATGGCCAAGCCGTGCTAGCAGGTGACGCCTTTCTTCAAGGTCCCTGGCTACCAGCAGCTCTGAGCAGGGCTTCACCTGCCTTGTACGTGTAACCAAGAGGACATGCTGTCAACTACAGGCAAACGGTCACCTCGAGCAAGAGCTGCCACCTACGCTGCACTGCTGTGCCACCCCGGCAGCCCTGTGCTCAGGAGAGCTGGAAGCCCAGGAAGCTCCATGACCGGAGGCTTCGTCTCTGGGAACCACTTCACAGTGGAGAGCGCACAGGGGCCCCGGGGGCAAAGCCCTGTCCCGGGAGGAGAGGGAGGCCATGGGCAGCCTACGACGCCCTTTCATTTGAGCAGCGCTTCTCTGAATGCCAGGTGCCGGCAGAGCACCCAGGGACAGTGTCACCATCAGAACCCTAAAGGAGGTCTAGCTCTGAGGTCGAGAGCCTGGTGGTGGCCGTGCGGCTCAAGCTGCCCCTGTGCGTGGTCTTTTCAGCGCCACGACATGCTGCTCCAGGCTGGTGAGAGGTGACAGTGCCTCCACCTTCCCGGGAGGGAGCTACAAGTGGTCCAGTAGGCCCCTTTAAGTACTTGAACGGGCACAGTAGGACAAAGGCTCGCAGGGACAGCAGCTGGCAGAGGGTGTGAATTCCTCACCAGGCTGACCACGCAGTAGCCAGGAAGGGACACGTGCCTGCCTGGCCCTAAAGCTTCTGCCCAGGCCCAGTCCATCCAAGGAGAGCACAGCACGAGACCAGTGCTCTGCACCATAGCAGGCACCGGTGAGGCCTTGCCAGCCACTGACATGCCACCAAGATCCACCAATTATGGTCCACGCTGGGGTCATTCTCATGGGATAGGGTCGTTCTCAGGGAACAGGCCCCAGCGCCCTGATAGACGGGGAAACCGAGGCTCGGTGAGGGATGATAACTTGGCCAGAGCAACAGACAGCAGGAGCAGCCACCGTCAGGGCCCTGCCCCGCTCCTGCACCTGAATCTGGGCACACTCCTGCTGCCATCTGTCAGCCAGGGCCGCGGGGGGGACGCCGCTCTCACCTCAGACTTGAAGGAGGCCTCGTCCTCCGAGTTGGAGCCCTCCACTTCCAGGGCCTTCCGGGCCTCCCTGGACTCGCTCTCGGCCTTCACCTTCTCCACCCGGGCGGCACTCTTGTCCTTGGCTGGCTTCTTGTCCGGGAAGGAGGACGAGGTGCGGGGTGAGGTGCCGGGAGCGCCCCGGGACCCCTTCGAGCTGCTCTTCTTCTGCTTTTTGGCACTGGGCTTTGGCGAGTCCGCGGCAGCTGGCCGCTTGCTGGCCGCCTTGGGCAGGGCGGAGGGCTGGGGCGCCCCCTTGGGGGACGCGCCCTCCAGCTTGGCCTCCTTCAGGGCCGCCTTGGGCTCCTTGAACGCGGCCTTGGGCGGCGGGGCCTTGTCCTCCCTGGGCGGCCGGCCCTCCCCCAGCTTGCGCGCGGCGTCCTTGCAGCTCTTGGCCTGCTCGCGCTCCAGCTCCTTGGAAGAGCTCTTGCTCTCCGAGTCCTTGCGAGGCCGCTCGCGGTGCTCCTTGGTCACCTTGTGCGGCTTAGAGGCCTTGCTGCTCTCCTTGTTGGCGTCCTGCAACACATGTCGAGAGCGGGGGCCGAGAGGGACCGTCAGCGGGCATCGGGCAGGGCCCAGCTCCGCCACCCCCGGCCTCGAGCAAGCGAGATCCACCTGCAAGACACTCAGCTAAAGAGAAGCACGTGGGCACAGGGAACAAGGCAGGAGGCGGGGCACCAAGTGCAGCCAACCCTTCCAGCTCCAGAGAGAGGGTCAGCAGGCTGCGGTGATCCCGAGGGCTTCGGGAGCAGCGAGTCCCACACGAGAGCGCCCTGTGGCCACCATGCCCACGCCTGCTGCCGCCCACGGTCTAGGCGACAGGAAGCCCACCTGGCACAGGAGGTCTCTTCCCAGTGCCCACTGCCCAGCTCTTCACCAGGTCCAGGCACGCGCATTTGCTGGGTGCCTGCTGGGTTGCAGAGACCGCACATGGCACACAGCGCGAGGCCTTGAGAGCGGACCCCGCCTGAGAGGCTCTCCGGAAGCTCTGTGTGCTCTTGGTCACTGCAGGGAGCCCAGACTCGACGCATCATCAGGCCTGTGACAGGTGACACCCTGGCACTCCACTACCTCCAGCAGTGACGTAGCTGACCCAAGGGGCAAGAGAAAGTCCAGCTCAAGGGCTGAGGGCCCGGGCCAGCCCCTCGGCCCTCACCACACAGCCAGCACTCTCTGAGGCAGGAGCCCTGTCTTCCTAGTGTCACCCCGCACACCCTGGGGGACTGCAGGGGCTACTGGCAGCTTCCCAGCGGTCTCAGAGCTCTGAAGGTGCAGACCAGTGGCACCAGGTGGGCTCCTGTGAGCCGGCTAGGAGTGTCATGGAGGACAGAGGCGACGCGCTGAGTGGACAGGATGGCCAGATCAGCCCCCTGGCAGCAGGAAAGGCCTCTGGTCCCTGCTCTCAGAGCTACCTGAAGGACCCACACAGCCATCACCACACCTCTGATCTGCAGAATTTGCCATCAACTTAGAAACTCATGACCCACGGCAGGGTCAAGGAATTAGGGTTGGTCCCCCTGGATTGGGACAAGTACGGGTAACAGCGCATGTTCCGAGCCAGAACAGCTGGCCCGGCCACAGCACAAGCCAGAAAGTGACCCCCGGGGACGCAAGAGCAGAGGAGGCCACAAGGGACAGAAGGACAACAAACCCAGTGGCCTGGCTGGCGGCAGTTCCCAGAGTGCACAGGCCCCCTCTGGCTGAGACTCATGCCAGGTTCTGGAAAGCTGAAGACAGGCGAGGGTCGGGGGCTCTGTGCTCCCATGGCCACAAGATGCTCGGAACTGAGTTTCAGGAAAAACCAACCACACTGGACATCTGATGTTGACAGGGCCACAGGGGAGGCCCAGTGGCTCCAATAAGTAAGCAGGGCCGCCAGGGCGACCCCTGGGGCCTCCTCCCTGCTGCTAGCTCGGGCCACATGAAGCCACCAGTGACCGACCGTGTACACTGCAACAGCGTGGCTCTGCTTCGGTGGCCATGACTCTGCCAAGACGTTGACAGCCACTGGGCTCCCCAGGCGCGGCAGCAAAGGATCAACAGAGAGCTGGGGCCCAAAAACAAGGGAGAGCCTGCTCACAGGCCTGTGCCCACGGAGGGCACCTGTGGCGGGCAGGATGGGGCTTCCTGGAAAGCCACCTCCGGAGAAGCATCTCGGCAGGGCTCCCACAGCCACCTCCTGTGCGACACACTTAGTGATGCCACAGAGAGTCCCCAAGAGAGGCAGAGCAGGGCCAGAGGTGCCGCCTACAGCCCCAAGGCCTGGCACACACCAACAGCCCCCAGACAGGGCACTGGCAAAACACGAAGCCTCGCGATGCGGCCCTGTCGTGGGGAAAGCGGGGGCTTTCCTCCCAGAGCATCAGGTGGCCCTGTGGCGCCGCAGAAGGAACAGCAGCCCTTTCCCTTCCTATCTCGCACGTGCATCTGAAGAACTGTGCGTGGCTGGAAGGAAGACAGAAGATGCTCAGCAAGGGCCGCCCAGGCTCCAAGATACCGAGGCACCTGAGGATGTCCAAGACTGGCTGGCCTTCCGGAAGGAGCCAGAATGACCTCGGCCTTTCCGATCTTCAGCGCAGCTCCCAGGAAGACTAAGGCGGCCCAGGTGCCCAGCTCACAGCACCCCACAGGAAGTGAGCAAGAACGTACAGAAGAGCAGAGGACAGAAGCAGGGCCAACCACAGGATGACCAGCAGCTGCCTGGCGCCACACAGCACTGAGCCAAGCATGTGCACAGAGCGATGGCACCCCGGCTCAGCGGTGCAGTGCTGCCCCCAGAGCGTTCCAGGTCCTGGCTCAGCAAGACAAGTGTCAGGGAGGCCGTGTGCCTGCGCCGGGACAGCAGGTCAGGGGACGGAGAAGTCAGCAGCTGAGCCACCAAGAGACATCAGCTCAGGGCTGAGCGTCAAGGCCAGCAAGGGCTCGGCAGGAAGGAGGCCCGCGCGGGCCCAGCCTGAAGAGGAATGGGCAAAGAGCCTGCAGTCACACGCCCTACACCTGCCATCCTGGAGAAGGGGAAGGAGCGGTGAGGAGGAGCAGAGGGCTCAAGAAGCCAGATGCCAAGGAGCAGGGCCGGGTGGCAGGGCCAGCTCGGCAGAGGGGCGCCGGCTGGGATGGCACTGGGCCCTGCCACCGCACCGCCCGGAGACTGGGCCTCCACCTCACTAACCTTGGAGCCGTGGGACGGTTTGGTCTTCTTGGGGTCAGAGAAGGCAGAGAGTGGAATTGTGGGTAACATGGGGTAGTCGGGACTGGGCCTGGACACCGTTTCTGCTCCTTCGGGCATTACCATGACCTAGTGACAAAGAAGAGACAGAGGTTATCAGCGGGCAGGGGCAGGGCAGCTGCCGCCCAAGGCCGTGGGGCTTCTTGAAGCGAGGACAAGGGGAGCCTGAGCTCGGCCTTCCCGAAAGAATGGCAGGCATTTTCTCTCCGGGGGAGCTAGTGCTGAGAGAGAAGCGCGACGGGGAGCCCAGGCTCCCAGGATGGCTGGGCCCGGAGGCCAGGCGGCCTCCAGGACTGGGGCCTGGCAGAGACAGCACGGCCAAGACAACGGAGCAGCGCGCAGGCGGACCAGCTAAGAGGACAGCGGAGGCCGCAGGCGGGGCTGCGCACGAAGGCAGCAGACGGCGGACCCCAGAGGGCAGCCGCAAGGCGGACAGCAGCATCCGGGGCCGCAGCGCCAGGCGCGGCACCCTCCCTCCGTGTGCAGGCAGCTGAAGCTGACCCGAACAGAGCGCGAGTGTGAGGCCGAGGCCAAGACAGGACCGGGGCCACGGCGGAGCCCGCGGCGGAAGACCAGCAGCTGGGATGCCAGGAGAGGCACCTCGAGGGCCAAAGGCCGCTCCCGAGTGCTCCAGGCGCCGCCGAGGAGGGGCCGGCCGCCCGGGAAACAGCTGCCGGCCACAGCAGGTGCCTGAGCCGGAGCGCTCAGGGAGAGATCTGTGAACGCCCCGCTGCGCCTTCAGACGGCAGCGAGACAGGACAGAAACGTAGAAGGCACCACAGGAAAGAGGAAAAACCCCTCCGACAGGGAAGCAGTGGCAGCCCGGTGACCGTGAGGACCTGGGCTTTGTTGCCAAGCCAACCCTTTCATCTGAGGCCGCAGCTCCCAGCAGTCACGGTCACGGGACGCCAAGCCCGGGGCTGTCCTGCTGTGGGCGGGCCACAGAGCCTGTCCGCCCACAATGCTGGGACGCTGAGGCGTCCACTGAGGCCGCGTCCGGCCCAGCCCCGAGAATGACAGGGAGCACAGCCACACCAGGTCCTCCTGCCTCCAGGCTGGCGACGCCCTCTGCACTCCCGGCCTCCTCTTCCCCATGTGGCCCATCCTGCCCCGGAGCTGAGCGGCCCCTCGGGACCAGTGTGTCCTCCACAGGACGTTCGGCGCTGGGGGACAGGAGGGGCAGGTAGGTCCATTCCCTTGGCAGGTGCTGCTGCGAAGCCCTCTGCCCAAGGGGCTGAGAGACCACAGCCGCGGGGCCACTCAAAGCCACCAGATGCGGGTGGGGTGGGGTGGGGGGACAGATGGCCCTGTCCCTGGGATGCCCAGGGTCTGGGGCAGCCAGCCAGGAGCTACCTGAGAGCCCCCGCTCAGGGCCAGGCCGGTTCTCGGGTTAGCGTGTTGCTCCGCGGTCAGCACAGGGTGGCCAGAGAGCTCCTGATGCCAGTCAGCTTCTCTGGCAGCTGTGGCCAAGGGACAGAGCCCAGCAAACACCTCTGGCCAGGCCTGCATGCTGCCCCATCTGGTTTTACGTGTTTACATGATGCCCTTGGAGGCCCTGCTTCCGCCAGCCAGCAGCAGTGGAGTCGCCCGGGAATGCCAGCGGCTCCCACTCGAATGTGGCACTAGGCACACCCACAAGTGCCCTGGGAATGCCGTGGCCCAGGGCCGTAACCACCAAGGGGGCAGGCTGCAGGAGCAGCAGCCGCAGGACTCAGGCCACCCCGGGCTGGCTCCCTGGGAGACGCTGCCCCCAGCCCGAAGCAGCACACAAGCGCCCTGGGGAGGTGGGCGCCCCTCCAGCAACAGCTCATGTGTGCTATGTACCTCACACACAGCACGCACACTTATCACACATCTTACACAATCCACACTCACCTCATACACACACGCCTTCCACACACCTCACACATGCCACAGAAACACATACTCCACACAAACCCCATCACACCCCACACCACACCCCACATTCCACACACGGACACACCCTACATCCTCCAGATGCCACACACGTGCCCCATACCCAATACCAACAGCCCCACACCACCTGTCCCCAACACAGGGCACACACACACGTCCTCTGTACACCAGACACACACAGTGCTCCCCGCATACCCCAGGTCCCCGCACCCCTCGGCCTGTACTGCCTCCTCTCCGCCACCCTGCTTTGGGCACCACACCCAGAGCTCTGCTCAGTGCCCCACGCGCCCCATGGGCAGCCCACTGTGTGGCAGGCAGCGTGAGCCAGTCACCAGGGTCCCCAGGGGCCACAGCCAGCGACAGCCCCAATCCGGGCACACGGACGGCAGTCTCGTGTGGAGGTGGCTGGAGACAGCACACAGCATGCTGGGCGCACTCACCCCGCCAGCCATGAGCAGCTTGTAGCGGAACTCCGTGGTGGGGTTGTTGAAGGTGAGCTTCTCACAGCGCAGGTGGTTCACGGGCGGGTTGCCCTCCAGGTTCAGGAACAGGTCATAGGTGAAGCACACCTTCCTCGGCTCCTCCTGCGGCGAGGGAAACGGGGCCTGGCTCAGCGTGGCTGGGCCGGGACGGCAGGGATGGACCGCAGTGACCGCCCACTCGGCGCCCCCTCCGCTGCCCCTGGTTCCGGGTCCACACGCTTCTCCTGCCTTCTCTCATTCAAAATAAACGAACAATCAGCAGACTCCGCGAAGCGGCCCCAGGGCACCCAAACCACCAGCACAGCCCCACTGCCTGAGCCTGGCGCCTGCCGCCCTCGGCAGCACTCGGCAGCTGGGCAAACAGGGAAACTGAGGCTCTGAGACACGTGTCTCTGGGGAGTCATGCAAAGCCTCAGTCTCAGCACCGTAGCTCCCTGCCTCTGCCCAGACCGCAGGGGACAGAGGCTCCACAGGGCCAGGAGAATTCCAGGACAGAAGTCTCTGCAACAAACGCTGCGGAGCCACGGGAGAGTCCTGCCTCACGTCACGTGCAGCAAGTTCCTCACACAGACCCGAGGTCTAAAACCCGGCTGAAGGCCTCAAACTCTCCCAACAAATCCACAAACTCATCACTGGGGTTCAGCAGATATTCCCATGTGAGACACCAAAGGCACAGGCAGCAGAAGAAAACACATCAACCGCACCAAAATTACAAGTGCTGTAAGGACACTTGCCAAGGTCCTGGTAAGGACAAAAAGACAACCCCTTGGAATCACTGGTCTCCTAACACGTAACAGGTAAAAAAAACTTTTTAAAAGCTCAAGAGTACAAAAATAAAACCATTAAAAAACAGATGAAGGACTTAAATCTACACACACACACACACACACACACGTGTGGCTTGTGTCTGGATGTCCCCTGAAAGCGTCTTGCGGTCACAGGCAGGGCTTTTTCGAGGTGGCTGGACCCAGAGTGTGTGATGCTGGGGTTCAGGACGTGCGATCACCGCGTCAATCCACCACCAGCCTGGCACAGCTCTGGGTGTCAGTGCTGCCAGCCCCTAAAGGCAGGGGCTCAGCTGGAGTGAAAGGGCTGCAGTGCTGCCCGCTGCCTGCCTGCCCTGTGACACCCCCTGCCACCCTGTCTTCGAGCCGGCTGTGGACTGAAACCTCCACAAACTGTGAGCTAAAGAACCTCCCCCCCGTTAGCTTCGGGTGTGGGGTATTTTGTCTCAGCAATCAGGAACGTAACCAAGCCACACACGTGCGTGCGAGAAACTGGGGCTGCGGCACGGCAGCTGCTCTGGAAGACTGGCAGGTCCTCCAAGTGCCAGCCAGGCAGTGACCGCACGATGCTGGTGGAGAGAGCCTGAGTGGTGCTCGCAGAGCCCCGTCCACACGGGATCACTCACAGCGTCGCAGGTGGGCCAGCCCTGGGCCGGGCAGCAGGAAGGAGGGACTCACCGCAGCCCCCCTCACTGGGGGCCCCCCCTGGGCCTACAAGGCTGCGTGGCACAGACACAGGCACACTGGGTGGCCCTGGGCAATGCGGGGCTCGGAAGCTGGACACCGAAGGACCCGCCTGGTGTGGCCCACTGCCGGGCCAGGTCCCGGACCAGACCGTGGGTCCTTGGGTGCTGGGGCTGGGAAGGCAGACAGAAAGCGGCTGCTCACAGGGACCAGGTGTTCCTGGGGATGACAGAAGTACCCTGGCATCAAAACGTGACTAAATTATAAACATATTCTAACCCAGCACCTGCATACTGTAAAAGGGTGAGGCGGGTAGTGCACCTGCCTGGCAGGTGTGAGACCCTGGGCTCCATCCCCAGCAGAGCACAAAAACAACAGTCATAGCGGCTGGATGTTTCGGTATGTAAATACAGCCAGGCCTGGGGATTCAGCCTGGTGGCTCAAGCACTTGGCCGGGAAGCGCAAGGTCGTGGGTTCGGTGTGATACCCTGAGAGAGGAGAGAACCGGGGCAGAGGGGCCGTCCACCAGCTCAGGAGGTGGCGTGGACAGGGCAGCTCCCAGCCTGCTGCCCACAGACTCTGTCCACTCTCCCCAGGTGGCCTGAGCTCCTGGCGGGGGCACTCAAAGTCCCGTCCCGGTGGGACTCAGGGCAGAGGCAGATCCGCTACTGGCTCTGTGTAAGGTCTGGGGACGAGGACGTGAGAGCAACAGCTCAGCTCACACGTGTGACCCAGGAGGGATGGCGCTACAGACCGCATCATGGCAGAATCCCGGTGGGCTGGGGGTGGGGGGGGACGGGACAGGCGAGTTGGCCTCTCACAGCACTGCCCAGCAGCATGGCTGCTTCCTGAGCCCAGGGTGGGATCAAGATGGGCTGACGGCACGTGGGAAATCGTCCCTCGTCCCAGGCGCGCAGTCTACTCTGGTTAAGGAGGGCTTTCCTGCCCAGAACCACGAGTCCTGGGAGGAGGCTCGTGGCTGTCTCCCTCCTGCTCAGCAGAGGGGAGGCGGGAGCTGACAAGAGGCCCTCCAACCTCTTGTCCCCATGCCCAGCTTCATATACCTGCTGTGGGCAGTGGTATGTGACCTCTGAGACCCCGACATGGCTCACTCCTTCCTTCCCCTCCACACCCCAGCCCTAATCAAGACCCTTGTCCCAGGAGGTGTGGGACACACTGCAGGAGCTGACAGAGCCAGTGCAGGAAGGGGTGGGTGTCACGGGAGGGCCCGGGAGGCTGCACCAGGCTGGGGGAAGGGGGGGGGCCTCCAAGGTGGACCAGCAGGGGCCGCCTGTCCTGGTGGGGGCAGGGCAGTACCACACCTGGGAGCCCACACGTCCTGTGCGGCTGGGCTCGGGGAGGGCAGGGGACACGGCTGGTGCCCGGGAAGGAACAGGCCTTGCTCCCTGGAGGTGTCCCAGGGCAGCGCGTGTGCGCGGTGTCACAGTCTGTTCTGCCCTGCCACCCTCTGGCCTGTGCACGAGACATGGCTGGAGATGAGGGCGGCTGCAGGAGGCAGACAGGGCACAAGTGCCCTGCTCCCACCAGGAACCAAACATAGCCGGGAAACAGCTGAGGGCACAGAGGTGCCCTGAGGGCCGCTCCAGGGCAGCAGTGAGGCAGAAGGTCGGGGAGGATGTGGCAGCTGTGCAGCCCTGGAGTCTGTGACAGGGTGTGAACCACCTGCTCAGCCAGTGTCGCAGACACAGGACACCAGCCACACTTGTCCTCCAGGAAGCCCAGCACCTGGACTGGGAGCTCGGAGGAGGCGCTGAATGCCAAGGGGGCAGAAGCTCCATCCGGGGACAGACACCACATCAGTAGGATGAGGGACGGAGTAGGGGGGACACAGGAGGGGGACAGGGTTTCCTCAACAAAGGAACCGTGCCGGGAAAGTGGGGGGTGGGTGGGGGGAGGGCGGCGGGGGCTCTACAGTGAAAGACAGAGACCTACAATCCCGAGGAGTCCTTGACTCAAACCGGAGAACCAAGATTTTAAATGCTGACTTCGTGGGGATTATCAATCACCAACCAGCGCCACAACGATCACAGGCCCAGAGAAGGGCTGACGGGGCTGGCACTGTGTGACCGGGTCATTCATCCCCAACAGTCACAGGGCTGCAGCGCCTGCAGCGGCGATTGAGAGGGAGGAAGGGCGCAGGCAGGACAGCGCCCTCGGCCACCGGCCACCGCCACGTGAGCCCCGGCGGAGACAGCAGGCCCGGGCCTGAGCACTCACGGCAGGGCAGAGGCAGGGCGGCCCGCCTCCCGGGGCCTCGGGGGTCTCGTCCTTTCTGGCTCCCTGGAACGGGTGCAGCGGGACCAGTAGCAAGGGCTGAGCGCAGGCCAGGCGCACCGGGCAAGCTGCCTGGTCTGGGCGTGTTCTCCGCACGCTGACAGAGGTCAAAGTGACTGGGTCTGCTCCAGACCCTGGCGCCCAGCGCAGCAACTCCAGCAGGGTCACAGGGCCCTCCCTGGGGTGCAGCCTTCTGCAGGATGGCCAACACCCCGCCAGCACCCCGCCCCCACTCTAAGCCGTGGCAGCACCTGCTGGACTCACCACTCTCTGACCCAGTCACGAGCAGCCACCCACTCTCTGAGCCTCAGGCTGCAAGCCACGTCTCCACAGCAGCTGGCCAGGATGCTGCCAAACTGGACGGCCCGGTGCCGGTGCCTGAGACACCACAGCACCCGGCCTCAGTCCTGGAGGCCAAGCCTAGAGTCCGGGCCACGTAGCAGGCAGGTCTCAGGGGCCCAGGGCAGGCCATCAAGGCAAAGCCCATGGCCCATGGCTGGCTGATCACACCCAGGGTCCCGAAGCTGCCATTACTCTGAGCCGATCCACACACGGCCTCTTCTCAGGCCAGGGCCGGCCCTGGGCGTGTCCAGGCCAGGAGGGCTCCCGGGCACCTCCGCCTGTTCACATGCACCCCACAAGAGGTTCACAGAGGACTCAAAATCCTGCTAAACCCAAGCGTGGCAGTGGCCCAGTGTAAGAAACTCCAGGGCAATGAGACCACAGGGCTGCAACCACCACCACCACCGTGTCTCAACCCCGGGTGTGTCAGGTGGGGGTCAGAGAGAGCAAGGGAAGGGAGTGTGCGCACGGACCGGCCCCCACGGTGAGCGCGGTCGCTGCCGTCACAAACACACTGACCCCGAAGGGCTAAGTGACCAACAGCAACAGCAATACACGGGCCTTGTTCCAATCCTGATGGAAACAAGTTATTTTAAGGAACTGCCCGGCATGGTGGCGCGTCTGTAATCCCAGCACTGGGAGGCGGAGGCAGCCTGGGCTCCACAGTGAGTTCAAGGCCAGCGTGAACTACACAGAGACCCTGCCTCAAAAAACCTAAAGAAGTAAACATGGGTACAGCTCAGCAGCAGGATGTGGTCTTGGCACACGGAAAGCCCTGGGTTCCACCCAGGAACCAACACACACACACACACACATACACACACACACTGGGTACACAACCCTAAGAATTATCCACTTCATTCCTAGGTAAGCCGATTTTGTGGTTACGTTTTTAAGCAGTCTTTTCTCTTACAACACATCTTAAAGTATCTGCAGATGGCCCTGGCCCCGCCATCCCGCAGCCCTGAGTTTAGTCCGGTACCCGTGTCCTGCGAG